GGGAAGAGTAGTTGGGGGCAGGGGGGATCGGGCCAACCGGCAGTTCGACATCCCCCGAGGGGTCCCAGATTGGAGAGGGTGCAGGCTGGGCTGAGGGACACCCCTCTTCCCCAGCGCCCCCACTCCCTCTCCCCCCCTCCATGTGTACCTGGCCTCTAGTAACACAACTGAATTTCTTGTGTAGACCCTAGGAATCTGCATTTATTGATTTGAGAGATATTTGTTCTTGTATGTGCCCTGACTAGGGATTAAACCAGCAATGTTGGTATATCAGGATGACCCTCTAACCAACTGAACTATCCAGCCAGGGCCAAGAATCTGCATTTTAAAGATGCTTCCCAGCTAATTCTTAGGCACAATAAAATCTGAGAACCATTTTTGAGTTTGGAATATTACTCATTACCCTCTACATGTCTAGGAACGTCTATTTATAGTGCTTGTCTATATTGCTAGATCTCACTTGACCATAGCACAAGATTCTTCCTGACATTTAAAAAAAAAAAAATGTTTTTTACTTCAGAGAGAGGGAAAGAAATACCAATGATGAGAAAATCATTGATCGGCTGCCTCCGGCACTCTCTACTGGAGATTGAGCCCACAACTCTGACCTGACTGGGAATCGAACTCTGACTTCCTGGTTCAACCACTGAGCAACACTTCTGACTCAACAAAAGTAGCACACAGCCTCACACTTGGGTGGCTTTTATTATTTATTTTTTAAAAATGTTTTTACTAATTTTAGGAAGAAGGGATAGAAACACCGATCAGTTGCCATCTGCACACCCCCTACAAGGGATTGAAATGAGCAACCAGGGCATAAGCCCTTACCAGGAACTGAACCTGTGACCTCTTGATGCATGGGTTAACACTCAACCATTGAACCATACTGGCTGGGCAGGGTGTTTTTATTTTGCTTTTGTCTGAGGCTATGGCTTTCATTTTGTTCTGAGTAGATGAATAATCTTGAACCTATAATTTGTAAGATTAGCTTTCAATTGTATCAGATCCAATTTCCCTAATGGAAACTTCCCATTTCAGCTCCTAAATTTGTGTGTGTGTGTGCACCAATAGTGCAATTAATCATGCTGGATAGAGAGGATAGAATTTAGACTCACTTGTACATGGCTGCATATGTGAATTCACCATATCAGCACTATATCACAGAATGAGTTGGTAATAGCACGTTTTGAAATTCTCATTACTCAATTTTTTAAAAAAGCAGCAGAGTGTAAACATGTATGAAAGTTTAGTTAGTATAGTCTATTCAAACTCAAGATGACATGAACTGTTTTCCACTTTAATGGTTGTACATTGAATGTTAACAAATTCAAGTATAGGTATAAGTAATTACGAAGTCAATAATGGCCAAATTATATTTCACTAATTAATCTGACCACTGTTTTCTCTGTACGGTTGTTGACACAGGATACCCTTCTCTCAAAGTCACCAATGCAGTGGGACAATAGCTCACATGCCGGTTTTTCTGAAGGCAATCACACCTGGTTACCTACCAATACAGATTACTACACTGTAAATGTTGCTGTAAGTATCAATGAAAATTTCATGCTGATTCCAGAAACAGGAAATGAGTTTCTATGCTAATAACATATACTAGAACCTTAACTGATGCTATTTATTTTTAAAACGTTTTAAAATTGATTTTTGAGAGAGGAAGGAAGAGGGAAACATCAATGTGAGAAATTGAAACATCAATTGGCTGCTCCTGCACACCCCCTTCTAGGGGTCAAGCCCACAACCTGGGCAGGTCCCCTGACCAGTAATTGAACCCGCAACCTTTTGGTGCACAAGTGGGCACTGAACCAACCGGATGCATGGGTCAGGGCCTGATACACATTTCAAATCAATCACATAGACTTCTCTTACAGCTTTCAAGTCATGCTTTTGTGAAAATACAAATTGGCAGCATTTGAACTATCATACAGAATATGCAACTCTTCATTGGAAAGACCAAGGGCTTTGAGATATTAAGGAAATTTTATGAAGGTCTGTCAGCAGGTCTATCCTCCCTTCTTTCCTCCCCTTGAGGAAGGGGTCCGATCACTCAGGGTAATGTGGGCTGCAGAGAAGCCTGTGTACCCGGAGAAACTGAAGACATGAACCACCATTGACAGGCAGTAGCTGTTCTAGAAAAGCACACCATTTGGTTTTTGCCGATTATGGTGATCAAATTTGCCAAGTTCAGCAAACAAATTTCCTAAATATTGTGACTATTAAAATAAAAAATTCAGTTCCTGTGTCATGCTAGCAACATTTCAAGTGCTAAGTAGCTAGTGGCTACCATACTGGACAGCACAGATATAGAAAAGATATAAAACATTATATTTTTATTTATTTATTTATTTTATTATTTTTTAAAAATATATTTTATTGATTTTTTACAGAGAGGAAGGGAGAGGGAGAGAGAATTAGAAACGTCGATGAGAGAGAAACATCGACCAGCTGCCTCTTGCACATCCCCTACCGGGGATGTGCCCGCAACCAATGTACATGCCCTTGACCGGAATCGAATCGAACCTGGGACCTTTCAGTCCGCAGACCGATGCTCTACCGTTGAGCCAAACCGGTTTCGGCTAAAACATTATATTTTTAAATGGCTATTACAATTTTAACGGTAACCATTAGAAGAATAGACATAACTGTATAATTTCAAAGAACATTAGAAGGGAAAAAATGTCATAAAGATAACCAATTGATCCAATAAAAAGCCAAAAAGGAAGAAAATAAAAAGTAAGTTAAAGAGAAAATTAGGCTACAGCATTATGTCTAAGCATATGGTGACCACAAATATAAAAGATAAGAATACTCAGATTAGAGCAATCTAAAGACAAAATCTGACATAAGACATGACTAAACCCAAGGACCCAGAACTAAATACAATGGTCTTTAGCCAGTTTGGCTTTTTGGACAGTGTTGATCTGAGGACTGAAGTATCACGGGCTCGATTCTAGTCAAGGGCACGTACCTTGGATGCAAGCTTGATCTTCAGACCTGGTTGGGGATGTGTGGGAGGGAACCAATCGATGTTTCTCTCTCTCTGTCTCTTCCCCTCCCTTCCACTCTCTCTAAAAATTAATAGAAAAATATCCTTGTGAGGATTAACAACAAAAAAAGAAAATATAGACACTGAGGACAAATGATAACCAAAAAAAAAGCTTGCCTCCTGGCTATACTTATCAAAAGAAAAAATGCATAATACCTTTTGACTGAATAATTTTATTTGTAAATATCTGTATCTAGGAATATTTGTACACAGCAAAGAGACATGGATCTCTACTGAAGCATTGTTTTTAATAGCAGAAGACTTTAGAAATGATTTAAATGTATCAACAATCAGCTGGATCATTTATGGTTAATTCTGCACAATAGGCTAATATACAACTTTTAAAAAGAATAAGGGAGATCCTATGTGTGTTGATATGAGACCACCTCTAACATATACTAAGTAATACAAAAAAGTAAGAATGGTAACATGCCACTATTTGTGTAAGAAGAAAAAAGTATATGTTTGCATAGGCACAGAATGGCTTATTTCATTATACATAAAATGAAAGAATATGTAAATAGCAACAGTGTCTATCTCTGAGAAAGGGACTGGGAAACTAGGGGTTGGTATTGAAGAAAACCTTTTTATTTTATATGTTCATATACGCTTATAATTGAGTTTTATACTGTACACATGCATTTCCTATTTAAAAAAGTAAAGTTACCAAAAGCAGGTGTGAAATATTTAATAGCAGACAAAATAGAATTCAATATGAAAAGCATTGAGAGAAAGGCAAATTTTAGAAAACAGATAAAAGAGCATTCCACTACAAATCATGAATCTATGTATCTACAATAACTTCAAAATATATAAAACAAGTAAGTACTGTGAGAAATGCAGGGAAACTGACAAATCCACAATTACCGAGAGACACTTCAACATACTTCTAGTAACTGGTAAATCGAGTAGACAAAAATAATGTTTAACAAAAATAATGTTTAACAATTATCGGGCACTTCTTATGCTTTTTCATGCAATATCTAATGCTATAGAAAATGTTAATAGTAATTTGACAGGTCATATACATATAGCATATACATGTATCATAAATACTGTTATACCTGGTAAACAGAATAAATGCATTTTAAACATCCATTAAATATTCACGAAAGACTACACATTAGGCACCTGCCCAAACAACAATCACCAAAACCACCAGTCAACATGGCTGGCAGGGGCATAATGAAATGAACATTATCACTGATTTGGCAACAGCTCTGATAAAGATTTGGCATAATGTATCAAGTGTCCATACTCTTTGACATAGTAATTGTCTTTCTTATATTTATATCCTAAATTATCCAAATTTGGGGGGCGGGAGACACACTATGAATATAAAAAAAATATTAAAAACTTGAATGCTGAAATGAAAGAGAATAGTTTTTTGCCTTTAAAATGACATTAAAGGAATTATATAACAAAAGATGCTTGACATGTTAAAGAAAAAATAAATACATTAAATTATTTATGTTGGTTAAAAAAAGTACTGATTTTTATTTTAGGCAGCATTTTTTGCATCCTTTTTTGCAACTTTCTGTTCATTAGCTATGCATGAATACATGTCTGCAAAAATTATGGCAAACATACCTACAATTCTATGAAAGGGAACAGAGAATTCACCAGCAGTTCTGAGTCTGTGGCCATCATGGCTGCTTTTCTGCCAGTTACAATAGAGAATGAAGGGACTTTTATTTAGGCAAGTTAAGTATCCACTAACTTTGACATGGGCACTGTTTTGGGATTCCTAAAATGGAGTCCAATCTGCTCTCTACTTCAGCTCTGGTCAAGATGATGTACATACTGCACCGACAAGGTGGAACCCTGCATTTGCAATTTCTATCAGTAGTTTATTATTACAGTTTGATAATTATTTGAAGGGGCAAACTGAAGCAAGATTTTTGGGGAAATTTCTTATTTGATACTAAAGCTATTAAAAAAAAAATTAGAATCAAACATTTATCCTAATACTTTTTTAAAAAAACAGGTCCAAAAGGCTCAGCCCAGATCAGCATTAACGTTATATCAAGAACTGAGTTTGCTGCATGCCAATGAGCTGCTCCTCAACAGGGGCTGGTTTTGCTATTTGAGGACAGACAGCCACCATGTCGTGTACACAAGAGAAATGAATGGCATAGACAGAGTCTTCCTGGTGGTTCTGAATTTTGGAGAATCATCACTGCTAAATCTAAAGGAAATTATTTCAAACATTCCCACAACAGTGAGGATAAAGTTAAGTACCAATTCCACCAAGAAAGGAAGTGAAGTTGACACGCAAGCCATTGCACTGGGCAAGGGAGAAGGATTCATCTTTGAATACAATACAAAGACTCTCCTGCATCAGCAAGCAGACGCCAGGGACAGATGTTTTGTTTCCAGCCGGGCGTGCTACTCCAGTGTGTTAAACATCCTGCACAGCCTTTGCTAGACATCTCTGCGGAGGAGGTGAAGACACTGGCTTTCCGTTCTACTCTCAGCATTTGCGGTAACTTAGTGTACAGTACACTGCTGGGCAAACTTTACAGACAATCATTAATTCTTAAATATATCTGCAGCTTGAATGTAACTGCTTTAGGAAAGGTTCTCAATGTTTTTAAAGAATAATGTTTAAAATAAAATTATCACATGCAGGAACTTGTAACTTTTTGACAAGGCATCAATAGAGATCATCAGAACACCTCAGGACCCCAGATTATTACAAAGATCTAATTCATTTTAATGTGAAGAATGTTCTCATTCCACAAAATACAGGCACAGAAACTGGAGCATGACTTACCACTAAAGTGTCTAAAAATGTTCACTAGCATAGAGGCAGGACCTTGATTTGCAAACTGTTCAAATGAAATTTTAGTAAAACAAACACAAAGCTGTTTTGATGGGGAGAGGGGAGTGCTCTACTGCCACCAACTCTTCCTTACCCCCCTCTCCACATCCTCTGATTAGAAATCTATTTTCCTAGGTAAGGGGCATATACACCAAGGAGAGAACAGTGTGAGATGTATACACTGAACAAAATTAGGAGAAGCAAATTTTAATAAACTATTCATTTACTTATAAATATCTCACTTTTGCTAACCCAACTGCAAATAAAACTAGGAAATACTTCCATGTATTTCCAATTTCCACAGAATTTCAGAATCTTACATATTTCTTAAGAGTCTCGAAAACACCAGTGCTGTCAAGTCCAAGTTCCTCATACAGGAATTTAATCTGGGCTGTAATCTAAAAGACACACATTAAAAAATTAGATGGAAGGCCTTGGTAGTAAAACTCCAGTGTCTAAGTCTGTCTGTCCATCTTCTTCACCTAACCCTCAAGTCAGCAACTTACGGTAGGGCCACTTTCCTTGGGACAGAGGCAGAAGGCTGCCACCGATTAAGGTTCAATTACATGAAGAGAGCTCACAAGCACTAGAGAGAGCCTGCTCCTCTGACGGACTCAGTGTTCTTCCTCACCCTCCTGGTCTCAGTCACAGACCTGAATGTGGCCCACCCCGCCCCAACCACTGAAATGTGGAGCACACTTCTGTCTGAGGATCTGTCAACTGAGAGGGCTGGACAACATACCTTTTTGTGAGAATCCTCAATCACATGATTGCCTCCAGGCTGAATGTCTAAAATAATATTGGGGGCCTGATAGCCTGAAAGAGTTAACATATGAAACAATTAGAAAGTTCTTGGCCCATTTCTGCTCCTCCCCCCTTTCTAAGTAACCTGTGAAAACGATAGAGAAGGAAAAGGCCTGAACCATCACTTCCAACAGAGAGATGGGAAGGGGCCGGCAGGAGCAGGACCATAGGGAGAAAGAAGGCTGTGACCGAGGAGGAAGCCACTGGCCCTGTGAAGTCTGAGAGAGTCTTGAGACCCAGAAACACCCACTACAGCAGTGGTGAGAGTGAGACAGAGCTGGGCACAGGGCAACCGTCTGGAAACATGAATGTGGGTCCTCCCACCTGGCTCTGAAGGTCTGGGATGTATTGGCAAGAAAAAAAGGTAAGAGCTCTTGTTTAATAAAACACAAAGATCTAGAGAAAATTAAAGCCATTAGTTTGGGCACTGAGGCTCCAGAGCAAAAACTTCAGAACCCTTTTTTTTCTTTTTTCTTTTTTAAAAAATAGATTCTCAAGAGTAATGGCTCAATTAATATTACTAAGTGTACCAGTTAATAATGCGGATTTTTTCCAATAGATGGAGTTACACATATGTTGCTATATATGTGATTTGATATGTATGCTATTTTATTGTATTGACAGCAAGATTCAAAACTTCAAATGTCAAATTTTCTGAAGGTGTTAACATCATAGATATTTTTATGCTTGAAAATGTCAAATTTTGTGCCAAAAAAAGAGCATTTGCAGGAAGTTTTAATTCATTATTTTGAAGAAAAGTGCTGCTAAAAGTTATATACTTCGGGAAGCTTATGGTGAACATGCTCCATCTCAAGATACTTGTCAATGCTGGTTTAAACACTTTAGAAGTGATGATTTTGATGTGAAAGACAGAACGTACAGATCAACCCAAAAAGTTTAAAGACCAACAATTACAAGCATAATTGGATGAAGATATATGTCAAACTCAAAACCAATTTGCAGAAATATTAAATGTTGCTCAGCAAACAATTTCTGATCATTTACAAGCAATGGGAAAGATTTTGAAGGAAAATGGGTGCCACATCAACTGGACGAAAGACAAATGGAAAACTGAAAAGTCATCAGTAAAATGTTGCTTCAAGCGCACGAAAAAAAAGTATTTTTTGCATCGAATTCTGACTGGCAATGAAAAGTGGATTTATTTTGAGAATCCCAAATGCACAAAATCATGGGCTGACTCAGGTCAACTATCAACATGAACTGCAAGGCCAAATCGCTTCGGAAAGAAGACAATGTTCTGCGTCTGGTAGGATCAGTAAGGTGTGGTGTATTACCAATTCCACCAAGAAAGGAGCTTTTAAAACCAAGTTAAACGTTAATACTGATCGTTACCAACAACAAATAGTCAATTTGAACCATGCTTTGATCGTAAAACTACCAGAATGGGCCAGAAGACACGGCAAAGTAATTTTGCTTCATCATAACACACCATCACACACTTCCAATATTAAAAGATCTTGCCTGGGAAGTATTAACCCATTGGCCATATACACCAGACCTTGCTCCTTCAGATTACCATTTGTTCTGATTGATGGCACACGCACTTTCTGAGCAGCACTTAAAAACGTATGAAGTGGAAAATTGGGTCTCTGAATGGTTTGCCTCAAGACAAGAAAGGTTCTATTGAGACAGTATCCACAAATTACCTGAAAGATGGGGGAAATGTGTAGCTAGCAATGGACATTGCTTTGAATAAAGCACTTTTGATGTTTCTCTTGAAATTATCGTGTTTGATTACAAAATCCTCATTATTAACTGGTTATAAAGTGTGCTTTAATTAGTAGTCAACATAGAAAAAACAATAATTTGTCCCAAATCATAGGTTGGTAATTTGGTCTGTACATGAAATGAATTCCTCTGAGCAGTATGCTGAAGGTAATAGTCTGCTTAGCTATGTTCCTGCTTCTTAGTAGTCCCTCACCTTCACCATTGTCCTTAGCGTGCTTCATAACGGCTTCTTTGAGTTTCTCAGTGTAGTTTACAATTCCTTTCAGAGGTACCCGTTCATCATTTTCATAAGCTGTGATGTGAACTGAAGGATAATGCTGTAAGAAAATGAATGTACAAAGAATGTATATTATTTCTTATGGCCACTTTCTATCTTACAAATTATGAAAAATAATTACCTCTAATTCCCCCCCCCCCCCCAATGCTACATTTCCCCCCTTTATTTGATATTCTTGAGAAATCTATGGTATTAGAGTACTAGACTACTCATTATCTGGAATAGTATTTTCTCAACCAGAGAGACCATGACCCTACTGAAACCAGCATGGAATATGAGCAGCGGCAGTGCTGAAAGGTGTCTGGGTTTTATAGTAGAAACAACTAAAGGTCTACTGAATTCTGGCCTGAGCTCAGGTAAGTGTCCTTTTGATCATCTTCACTTGGTCACTTGAGATAGTAATATCGTAACTGTCTTTCACTACCTGAGGTTTAATATTTTGATATGGGCAGTAACTTTTTATGTAGCTCCTATGTTTTTGATCAGATGAAGGATTCCCCCATTCTTCTAATTCTTCTAATGTCAGAGGAAGTGTAGTATCCATCATGGTGTTGAGAACATCCAAGAAAGGTGCCTAAAAAAAAAAAAAAAAAAAAAAAAGCCAAAGGGACTTAAACTTTGACTAACAAATTGGTAAAATGAGTTACAGGGAAATATACATTATGAATATATATGTTGACATGAGAGAACAGAGCTTAGAAAGCAATGTAGAAGCCAGGAGCCGCACACATTCCTCAGTCCTTACCCAGCACCTGGGCTTTATATCGGCTTTTTAGATGTTCAGACCTCTTAAGTGATATATATACACACACACACACACACACACACACACACACACAAAGGGCTTATATTTTAACTAGAGGCCCAGTGCACAAATTCATGCAAGGGTGCTGTCCGTCCGGCCCCACCCCCTGGTGGATTCCAGGTCAAAAGGACAATTTGCATATTAGCCTTTTATTATATAGGATTTCACATATTTTGTGCCTTTTATTCACACACACACACACACACACACACACACACAGACACACATACCCATTTTTATATAAAAGAAATACCACTTCACATCTATTAGGAAAGCTAGCTATTAAAGAAGGAAATTCTCACACATGCCACAACACAAATGCACCTTAAGGACATTACCTAAGTGAAATAAACCAGTTACATAAGAACCCCATTTCTAGGTGGTACCTTAGTAAAATCCAGAGAGACAGAGGTAAATGGTGGTTCTCAGGGGCTGGGGAAGAGGAAACTGAAGAGTTGTAACTTAATGGGTATAGAATTTCAATTTTGCACAATGAAGAGTTCTGGGAAATTAGTTGCACAATAGTATGAATGGACTCACACTGTAACTTAAAAATGGTGAAGAGGTGCCCTGGACAGTTTTCTCATGGTTAGAGCATCATGGGCTTAATTTGGTCAAGGGCATGTACCTCGGTTGAAGGCTTGATTCTCCCACCCCTCGCCCCAGTTAGGGTGGGTGTGGGAGGAAACCAATCAATGTGTCTCTCTCACCTCAATGTTTTTCTCTCTCCCCATCACTTCCACTCTATCTGAAAATCAATGGGAAAAAAATATCTTTGGGATTAACAAAACAAATGGTGAAGAGGTAAATTTTGTTATTTTACCACAATTAAAAATAAAAAATAAAAACTCAGCAATACATGAATTAATTTTCTTTCACCATTTGGATATTTTACATAAAAATAAAAGATAAATGCAAATTGAAGAAAATATGGAAAATATCCAACTTGAAAGAAGAGAAAAATCACTCATTGGCTTATATAGTGTTAAAACATTTAATAAAATGGTAGCTGCTTTTTTTTCCACTTAATTTTATGGTCTTTTCAGCTTTCTCTTGCATTAACATTAACCACATGGGCAAATGGAATTCTTTTTGGGTGCCTAGCACCTGAACTCCTTTTCTGCAGTTAGAGTATCCCAAACCTTGTGAGCAGAGGTACTAAATGCTAAGTAGTTCCTTTCCCAGCTTCCCCTCCAGCGCAGAGGTAGCCACATGACTTCAGTCTACCAATCATACACAATGTGCTCCAAATTCTGAATGGGAAGTTAGTGACTGAAAGAAGTAGGGACCACAGAGAATGTATTCTGACAAGATTGCCACAGCCATATCAGGTTTCTAAGAGCAGTTGGGGGGGGGGGTGGTGGTGGTGGAGTTCCCTGGCAGTTTGAAGTGACTTCTGCCTGATCCTGGGGGTAGTGATAGCTTCATGGGATAGGTTAATGGTATATTTCAGACATGCTTCTGGTTGTGCAGCCTCTAAGACTGGTTCCATACCCACCCTCACCCAATACACTTCAATAAATCCTTTTTCTGCTTAAATTAGTCATGTGCTTCTAATTAAGAACTAGTGCTTCTAATGAAGAACTACGGTTCTGATGCTTCTGATTAAGAACTGACTAATAGTTGACTCTGGTTTGCTCAGTGGATAGAGTGTTGGCCTGCGGACTGAAAGGTCCCAGGTTCAATTCCAATCAAGGGCATGTACCTTGGTTGGGGGCACATCCCCAGTGGGAGATGTGCAGGAGGCAGCTGATCAATGTTTTTCTCTCATCAATGTTTCTAACTCTGTCCCTCTACCTTCTTCTCTGTAAAAAAATCAATATATATATTTTTTTTTAAAGAACTGACTAATACAGATCCTACTAATATTTTTGGATATATATATACTCTATTATTGGAATAATTGAAGATTTCAATTCTTCACTATTATAAGCAATCCTATATAATAAAAGGCTAATATGCTAATGACTGAATGATGGAATGACTAGTCACTATGATTCGCACTGACCACCAGGGGGCAGGCACTCAATGCAGGAGCTGCCCCCTGGTGGTCAGTGTGCTCCCACACAGGGAGCGCTGCTCAGCCAGAAGTTGGGCTCACGGCTGGTGGGCACTGTGGCAGTGGTCGAAGCCTCTCCCACCTCCATAGCAATGCTAAGGGTGTCTGACTGATGGCTTAGTGGGCCTAAGCCACCAGTTGGATATCCGTCCAGGACTCCCAAACTGCGAGAGGGCGCAGGCCAGGCTGAGGGAACCCTCCCCAAGTGCATGAATTTCATACTCTGGGCCTCTAGTGTGGGATAAAAATCCTTACACATACATTTCTGATTTCCTTCCTAATTTCTAAAAGTCAAAGGTTGAAGCTTATTTATAGTGCAAATAATTTTTCCATTATTATCTTTGTGTTAGGTTTTTCTTCCCCTATCCGTATTTCTATTAAAAAAAAAAAAAGCCAGATGTTCAGTTCAGAATTATTTAACACGTATTTTATACAAACCCACAGCATACACCCCACACACTCAAAATAAAAAACTTAAAAATATTTTACTCTGCTCACCCTAATAATTTTATTTCCTAAAGCATCTAACCAAGAAACAGGAGAGATGAGCTGCTATAACATCGTAATTTTGGACAGAAGGAAAAGGCTATCAAGCATTTTCAGAATAAGGTATTTCAATTGAAGTATAGAAAAACTATCCCTAAGGACCATTAAAAATAGAGTAAAACCAGAGAGCCCCTAAAATCAGGACTGAAAGGTTGATGGGCAATGGAATAAAATACTTGGTGCATTTCAGAGTCCCAGGGCACTCTGCCTTACTTCCCGAAGCTGGTGAGTCTTATATGCTTTGTCTCTTACACCAACTCTAAATGTTCTCACACACACACACACACACACACACACACACACACACAATGGGGATAGCTATTAATACCCTTCAATTGAAATCCTTAAAACATAATAAAGAACACTGTCAGGGAAAAGTAAAGGGCGAGTAGTTGGATTAAATTAACTTTAGAAGTTCACTCAGAGCTATAATTCTTTGTTTGAAATTGAAAAGCTTTGTTACACTCATATGCTATGGTCAATCAGAATTTTTTCTCAGGGCAGTGTATGGCTTCATGCCTCCCCATTCTGTAAACAATCAGAGACTGAGTGTACTCACCTCCATAGTCACAGCTCTCAGGAGCTCTGGCTTAGAGTTACACAACGCTCCCACAAGCACCCCTCCAGCACTGAAAGCAGTCAGGGTTGTTAGACTTGGCTGAGAAAAGCCTTGGTCATGAAGCGTCTTAATGCAAGCCTCTAAGTCAGCAAGGCCATTGAGTTTTTTAGTTAGCCGGCCATCAGTGTGCCAGTGGAGGCCTAACTCACCACCACCCCTGAAATTAAATGGCAAAAAGGTTTTAGTGGAGAGAAAAAAAAAATAATAATAATATAGGTCGGAGTCAGCAAACTATATCATGGGCCAAATCTACCCAGAGGCCTGTTTTTGTATGGCCCTCGAGCTAAAAGCAGTTTTCACATTTTCAAAGGTTGGAAGAAAAAACCCCAACCAGGAATGTGCAGCAGAGCCACATGTGGCTGCAAAGCCTACAATGTTTATTATTTAGTTCTTTAGAGAAAAAGTTTGCTAACCCCTGATGTAGACAATCAATAGACATGTTTTGAGTGCCTGCCTAGTATTTACCAGACATTGTGCTAAATGCAGGCCTTAAAAACATAAATAAGCAAACATCCCCTGCCCCAGAGAAGATCATAATTTTGTGGGGAACGAAAACAGCTACCAAGAAATCTGGTTGCTGCTATTACACAAATGTATTTAAGGCAGTTGTTCTCAACACTTTCTAATGCTATGACCCTTTAATAGAGTTCCTCATGTTATATCTGTGTTTTCCGGTGGTCTTAGGCTCTACAGCAGTGGTCCTCAACCTGTGGGTCGTGACCCACAGATTGAGAACTGCTAGCAGGGTCGCCTAAGACCATCGGAAAACACAGATATTTACATTATGATTCATAGCAGTAGCAAAATCTTAGTTATGAGGTAGTAACGAAAATAATTTTATGGTTGGGGGGTCACCAAAAACTGAGGAACTGTATTAAATGGTCGAAGCGTTAGAAAGGTTGAGAACCACTGATTTAAAAGGTGTCTCAGAAGTGGAAGAAAGAACATCCATGTGTCAGGAACACATATGCTTAATATGGAGATAATACATAAGTGGAAGGAAGAATGTAAATTCCCAGAGAAAAAGCAAGGATGACATCAGGACACTGCATGAGCCAGGGCACCGAGGGAAAGCAGCCTGTCGCCTGGAAGGACAAGCAAGGCTGGCTGTGGAGTGTATGGTGGGAGCACAGGACATGCGTGGGCAGTGATAACAGATGTCTGTACAGAGATGAGAGAGGTCATCAGGTTGTTAAATACTATACTGAGAAATCTGGACTTTATTATGGAGATGGGGAGTTAGTGAAGGATTTTAAGCAGAGACACAATAATATTTGTGTCTTGAAAACAGCTAGAATAAAATAGAAATTAGATTGGAAAAAAGGAGTTCAGTTTAAGAGACTATTTTAGAAAAACCTAAACTAGGGAGAATTAAATGGAAATAATGTTACCAAATAAGCAGAGACAGGTAGTATTCTAAAAATCCTAAAAGTCTGATACAATATCCTAAAAAATGGACCCTTTTGTTTTTTGGTTCAAATAATGTTACCAAGTTCCACCGCCAGCATAGGTGTAGAAATCCATAAATTCAACACAATTGAAAAAATAAAGTTTTTGCTCATGTTATTTTGGACATCTGTCACCGTGCTCTCACACTCATATGCCAGGATAAATATGCAGACTCACCGAACATGGCAATATGCTAATATCCATCCATCGTCCACCAGCGCCCTCCTTTCAGGCCTGAAATTCATTTTCAAGTCCATGCCATAAGCTCCATACACATGGACCAGGAGAGGTTTTTTCTGCAAGTCCTCAGAATCTGTTTTGTGGAAGATAGTCATTGGCACTAATCTTCCATCCTGGAAATAAAGATTTATTATCTATGTAAAAAAGAGTATTTTCAAACAGTTTTATCACCTATTTTATGTTCTGCTTACTGACGCTGAGCAGAACTTTAAGACGAAGAGTTATGGTCTCTTAAGAGACCATATTTACATTATGATTTATAACAGTAGCAAAATTACAGTTATGAAGTAGAAACAAAAATAATTTTATGGTTGGGGGTCACCACAACATGAGGAACTGTACAATACTTGACAAACAGTAGGCTTGCAGTAAATGGGGGCTGACAGTGGAGATTACAAAGACTTACCTTGCTTTTGGCTTCTACACGTAAAACACGACTAGTCTTTGTGATTGGGTCTTCATGTCCAGTTTCCTCAAACAGTTTGCCTTCTGCGAACTTATATATGTAATATTTTGGAGGACGTATTGGAGAGCAAAGCTGAAAGGGACAGTTCTTTGGGTCTGAATTTGAATCCATTATGAATCCACAGGCCCAAGGAGGGAGCTAAAAAAATAGAAGTTATTTTTACTCTTTATCTAGACACTAGGTATATTAATTAAATTTCTGGGTCTGCTTGAAACAAGATAATGTAAACATCAGGTTCTATCCATTATCATATAATGCTTCATTTAAGGATTACTTTAGCACAACAAAATACATTTCAAGTAAAAGACAAATAATACTATACCAATGATCAATAAAATAAGGAAAATGATAGAAAATAGTTTATCATGATTTTGGATTTATATGAACTCTCTAGTAAAAAAGTTTATTTTGGGGCATAAACTTGGGCAATAAAATAACAGCAAAAGGATTAATAAGAGCAAATCAAATAGTAATTCAGAACCAAGCAACATCTTCAAGATCTCTGTCCTCATAGAACACGAAATCTCAGACATGTATTTTTAATAATTTACCCACCAGCCCACGCTCTGCTGCCCAGACAGCCACAGTGATGACAGTTATTATTCCTGGGTTACAAAATGGCGCAGCAGCACTAAAGCATTTACAATTTGTTTCTAACTTTAGCTCCTAGGCTAACCATTGTGCAGAACAAAACCTTTCCTGCACATTCACTCTGAAAGACTCAGAGCTATTATGATTAAGATTCTTAACTTTAAGAAAAAAAGGAAAGGAATCAAAATTTATTCTCTCAGAGCAGCAGGGTCCTGCTTCAAGCCTTCCACTAACATCCTTCTTACACCTTTTAAAGAACTCCGGTAAGCAGGCTGACAGTGTCTTAGAAATGGTACCAGGAGTCAGAACATTAAAAGAAAATTGCCTTTCTTTTCCTGAGTAATTGTAGAAGGAGCAAATTCCTGAGAAAATCAGAGGTCTTGGCCCAGCAAAGTCACTGGTGGGCACTATTCAGAAAGGATAAGTGGGGGATGTGTGCATAGAGAGTGCACCATTTAAATTGTAGAAACTACAGCCAAAGAGCTTATGTTTACAGAGCAAATTTCTTGTAATTAATCCAAAGAATCTATTTTCCTGAAACTAATAAGGACATACATTTGCAATATTTCTTTATAAGAGTCCCCGATTTATTCTCCTCAGATTGAGGATTATTTTCAAGGACAATGTATCTAAATGCAAGCTATAACCAGAAAGAAAAGTGTAATCATGAAAGTTGGGAAAGCTGGTCACATGAATGGAGCGAGCAAACCGAGTCCTTAGTGGGAAGGGAACAAACAAGCACCGCTGTTAACATTGCAACCAGGCCTCAGGCTGAGGGGACAAGGGTCCTCGGCCCTGAGAGGCACAAGTTCTGTCCTTTGGTGACTTTAAAAGTTTCTGTGTGATCCACATATTAAGTTGCTCTAGTTTTACACCAAGTGGTTCCAATAAAGCAATAAGTCCTTTGGGTGTATTAAACTAATGGATCAAAGTTAGAGTTTTAATTATAATAACAACTGTTCCAAGGCTATAAACTTTTTATTTTTTTATTTTTTATTTTTAAAATATATTTTATTGATTTTTTAGAGAGGAAGAGAGAGGGATAGAAAGTTAGAAACATCGATGAGAGAGAATCATCGGTCAGCTGCCTCTTGCACCCCCCCACTGGGGATGTGCGCACAACCGAGATACATGCCCTTGACCGGAATCGAACCTGGGACCCTTCAGTCTGCAGGCCGATGGTCTATCCACTGAGCCAAACCTGTTTCGGCGGCTATAGACTTTTTAAAGTCTGTCCAGCTAATGCAGAAATAAAGTATTAATGATCTCAAGAATATCTTAAGCCACATTTCCCACTTGGATAAGCCCGTAGTATCTACCATGTATATTAATGGACAGCACCCAAGAATAATTGTATCTTAAATGCGGAAAGAAAATTGGCCCAAAGGTTTTGTCCTTCGTATATAGTGCTGCCTATGCATATCAATCAGTGTAATGCAGTTCGTGAAAAGGCTCGCATCTGCGAAATCCTCTTTAGCACCTGCCATACAATACAGTATCTGATTCCATGTGATACTGACTCAGAACATTATACATGGCATAAGAGGTCCTACAGGTTGGGAGGGTTAGGGAATAAAGCAGAGGAAATAAACTAAACACATGATGCTTATTCTAATGGAAGTTATAACCATGGAAAATAGAAATACTGACAAAAAATATAAAAGGTCATATTTACTTAAAAGTCAAATCTTATAACAGAGTCAACTCATGACATTCCTAATTTTCTTAACAGAATTTTGTGTTATAAATGCACTGCTAGGAATTATATATTTCCTTCCATCTGTATTCACATAGATTGTGAATTAGAATTCAGTCAGCAAATAAGAATCTAGTAGATGAAACCAATAAAAATTTGCTAAAGTAAAATCACCATTTGTGTTTTAGGACAAGTCCTCTAAGACATCAGATATTACATTTGATAATTTGATTTTATGAGGTTGCTAGAAAATTTTAGGGCCTGGTAATTTCTTATTTTATATAACTATAACAATCTTAAAACTAATCTCCCTGCCTTTTATCTCCCGCTGCTTCAGTATGTCCTAATGTGGCTACCAGATAACCTCATGAAGCATAACTCACTCCTCAAATCACTCTCCTACCCTCAAATTTCATGTTTCCCCTCTTCATAATTTATGCATAAATTCATTACTGTGACAATCAAAGAACGTCAAACCATAGCGTCATCCCCCATAAATCTACTGTATAATAAAACAGAATTACTAGCAGTTTCCTGACCATTTTCTGAGCTACTCCAGCTTAGTGCTTCATTTGATAGATGTCCTCATCCTAGAATACCATTTCCCTTCCTACTCATCAAATTCCTGTCTATCCTCTTTGGATCTTGCCTATAACAACTATTACTGTGTATCCTAATAGTTATTTTATATCTCCTTCATTCTTGACACCATTTATTCAAACCACCTTCTACCTGCTCTTTGTTAGTTGAAGCTCATGATTAACTGTATCCTCCTTAAGGCTAGATATTTTGTCCTGCTGTCTTTCCACTCTAGAGTGCCCCATACAGTGCTCTGCGCATAGAAATTCAATTCCCGGTGAATTTCCAGGAATTGCATTTTAACAGAAATTGCGACAACACTGCAGTTAGGGAGGTGTAAGCGGTCTATGCTTACTGGCCAATTGGCTCCACAACCCTTTCCATATTAAGGAAAATGCAGGCCTCTCCTCTGTGCTTCAGTGTCTGGTGTCTTAACTCACATGTTAATGCGGCTTTAATACTGGGCATTAAGGGTGCCATTGTAAGTTCACTTGTGGAGGCAGATTGTCTTTCCTGGCAGCCACAGGCAAAACCAGTGGATCAGCCTGCCAGGGACATGTGCCAGCATCACAGCTGTTGTAGTGGAGACCATTGCCACCCCTTATTGAAAGAAATCGAAGTTCACTTTTCCTCATGCCCTGGTGAGAAACATGGCAGAGAGATGATGCAGATCCAAGCATGCAGTGTGGCACAAACACAGTAGGCACTAACTCTACTGGGGGTGTGGGAAGAAGCAGCAGGCAGGGGTTGGCACTAGCTGCCAAGTTGGCCTGAGTTATTACTATATCTAAAGCTATAGAAATAGGTGATCTATAGAAAGAGACCTACCTCTTAAATTTGATAAAGACCTAGTCATTTAAATTAATTCTTTAAGAAAAAGTACATTGATATTAGTAAAAATTTGATGTTCTGGTGAAGCTTAACTGCATGTATTTTGATTAATGGTATTGTCTTTTAATAATTAAACATACCTTCAGAGACCGAACTGAGTCATCAGCCAGACCAATCACATTAACATAAAGCAGATTGCTGTGCTTCAGGAAGAGAACACAGTGATCCTTAAACATGTCCAAGTCTATGACTTTGGTATTTCTCTTCATTGTGAAAAATAAGTCCCAATTCATTATAGCAGGTGTATCAGCTGCTGTTCTCATTAGCTGTGTGGAACAAAGTAAGAAGAGATCTAGGTAACAGAACATGATATCTACAAAATCCAAAGCCATAGATGAAACCACTGAAAACTAGACACAGTCTTCTTCACTGTCTTATGATGAGCTAACTGCATGTGGGCTGAAGTGTGACCATCACCACTGAATGATAGCCAACCAATGGACATTTGAGTGAGGGTACTGACATCCAGCTGACTATGGAAGCACCAGTGAGCCTCACTGACACTGACAGAACAGCCAGATGAGAACAATTCAAATTGCTAACTCACAAAATCATGAATTTATAAAACTTTGTTCTTTTATTTTTTTTTATTTTTTAGAGATATATTTTATTGATTTTTTTTTTTTTTTTTTTCCAGAGAGGAAGGGAAAGGCATAGAGTTAGAAACATAGATGAGAGAGAAACATTGATCAGCTGCCTCCTGCACAGCCCTAACTGAAGATGTGCCTGCAACCAAGGTACGCGCCCTTGACCGGAATCGAACCTGGGACCCTTCAGTCTACAGGCTGACACTCTAGCCACTGAGTCAAACCAGCCAAGGCAAAACTTTGTTATTTTAAGCTACTAGGTTTGCTTTTGGTAATTGATATAATCAGGATAGAGTATGCTTCATTTATTATCCTTTTTAGGAACAATTCAAATGGGACTGACTAAACACAGGATGGTAGCACCAATTTCTACACTTAACCAAAAGCCTATGAAACAATGAACTTTTAGAGCAAGAAATGTTGCTGATGGAAATGTGACACTTCCCAAATGGAGCTAAGGAAATAGGGTATCACCTTGAATTCTGTAGGCTCGCCAACATTAGTGAGAATGTATAGTTCATCATCTCTGTGTTCAACGTAGTAAAGGACCCCATGTATTCGCTTCTGGATAAGTACAGGTGGATCCCAAGGACTTAGGCCATCTATCAACCACACTTCAGAAGTGGTCTTGCTCATGATATTCATGGTGAGGAAACGACTGTCTTTTGTAAGATAAAGGTAAACAAAAAAGCTATACACACACATACATACACAGGGAGAGAGAAGAGAGAGAGAGGGAGAGAAAAAGATATGAAAATTCAATAAATTTCAAGTGCATGCTACCTTGTTAATGACAGTATCTTACAGGTGGTCAGTATATATATTAATTAAAATGCAGATAGAAAATAAAAATAACTGCTTATGAATTCTACTTGTAAACTAAAATCCTGCTATTATTTTTCTCATTGCCTCTAGAAACATTAAAAATAAATTTTCTCTAACATTTTATTATGAACATTTTTCAAACATGCAGAAAAGTTGAAAGAAAGAAATGTATGGTAAATACCTATTAATCTATATCAACATCACATACCTATGCATCATCTATCCATCTGTTCTTGAATGTATTTCAAGGTAAAGTACAGACATCATCTCACTCTCAATCTCATTAATAGATTATAGGGCTATAAACTTCCTAGAGGAAAATGCAATTACTAGAGGCCTGGTGCATGAAATTGTGCACAGTGTGTGTGTGTGTGTGTGTGTGTTCCTCAGCCTGGTCTGCACCCTCTCGCAATCCGGGACCCCTTGGGGGATGTCTGACTGCTGGTTTAGGCCCAATCCCACAGGCAGTCAAATATCCTTCTCGCAATCTGGGACCACTGGCTCCTAACCGCTCGACTGCCTGCCCAATTGTCCCTAACTGCCTCTGCCTGCCTGCCTGATGCCCCTAACTGCTTGCCTGCCTGGTCGCCCTTAACTGCTTGCCTGTTTGCCTGATTGCCCCTAACCACTCACCTGCCTGCCTGATTGCCCCTAACAGTCTCTGCCTTGGCCCCTGCACCTGAGACCCAAGCTGCCCTTCTCTGGCCACCACAGGCAACTGCGATTCAGGCTGGCTTTGCCTGGGCAGGCACCCAGGAACCCAGGTGGCGCAGCCCAGGCCTCGGCTTTGTCAGGAAGGACGTCCAGAATGACGTCTGGAAGACATGCAGTCTATCCGGTCTAATTAGCATATTACTCTTTTATTAGTATAGATAGTTTAGAAAGGGACTCAGTTACTTTGTTTTTCCTCTGTATTCATGCTGAATTTCTTTTTCTTCTAGTTTTTATAACAAACCGATCAACAGTTGGAAAGAAAATTCCTCATAATTCCACTAACCTAACACATTTTAATTATTTTATTTTTCTATTTTTTTCTTTTAAGGTTTATTTGTATTTCATTCATGTTTTTAAATAGATGTAATTAAAATATACATACAATTAAGGATTCTGCTTTTTTTTTTAAAATCCTCACCTGAAGACATGCTTATAGATTAATTTTAGAGAAAGGGTAAAGGGAGGGGGAGAGACAGAGAGAGAGAGAGAGAGAATTGGTCAGTTGCCTCCCGTATGCACCAAGATCAGGGATCAACCTGAAATCTTTCAGGGTATGGAAAGACACCCAACCAACTGAGCCACACCAGTCATGGCAGGATTCTGCATATTTTTTAATATATTTTATTGATTTTTTACATAGAGGAAGGGAGAGAGATAGAGAGCTAGAAACGTCGATGAGAGAGAAACATCGACCAGCTGCCTCTTGCACACCCCCTACCGGGGATGTGCCCGCAACCAAGGTACATGGCCTTGACCGGAATCGAACCCGGGACCTTTCAGTCTGCAGACCGACACTCTACCACTGAGCCAAACCGGCTTTGGTGGATTCTGCATATTTTTATGTCACATAATATCAATATCTCCCCAAACATTAGTTACGGTCTTTATGATTATTAAAAATCAATCTCATTAAAATAATCATTATCAGAAAAAACAAACAAAACAATGACTATATCATTGGACCAAGAATATTAGTTCTATGGCCTGGAATAATGTAATTCCTTTAGACCTAAGATTACTACTATTAATTAATTAATTAGGAGTTGTACAAGATTTTCTTTCTTTCTTTTTAAGATTTCCTTTAAGATCCTTGCCAGTTCTTATGAAATGAAGAGTAAAGTTTCTTGTTTTTGATATTGACTTCACTGGCATAAATTTATTAAGTTTTAAACCCCTTTTTTTTCCTTGCAAAATCTGTTCAGATATTGTCCAAACTATATTGTTTAATAATGTACAAAGTGACAGGATCCTTGTGTTAAGAAAAAAAATTGTTTCTCAATTACAAGGAATCATTCACTATCATTTCCTTCCAAGCTTAAGTGGTAAGATAGGGCATGAGTCCAGGAAATTACAAGGAAATAAAGACAAGCAGCTTTAATAAGAAATTACCAAAGTACCAGGGAAGGACCAATGGCCATCATGGCTCAAAGCAAAGCGATTTAAAATTCAGATAATCTCTATGAAATGAGTAGTGAATTCTGATACCATGGTATCTGACTTACAAGAGATTTATAATTGCTATATGACAACCCTATTAAATGTTCAATCAACAACTCCTCTTGTGTCACAGTCGAGAGAGAATGTGAGTAACTCATCATTTGCGGTCTAATGATGTGTTTGTGTTTATTCTGGAGTTTGAATATGCCTAACTCGTTTTGAATCTAAACAACTTACAAAAAGAATAATTACAATATTTTATCTGTTTCCAGCCAAAATCAACATTTTAAGTCCAACCAAGAGCAGCAGTTTATTTATTTATTTAATATATTTTATTGATTTTGTACAGAGAGAAAGGGAGAGAGATAAAGAGTTAGAAACATCGATGAGAGAGAGTCATTGATCAGCTGCCTCTTGCACACCCCATACTGGGGATATGCCAGCAACCAAGATACATGCCCTTGACCGGAATCGAACCCGGGACCTTTCAGTCCCCAAGCCGACGCTCTATCCAAAACAGGTTTTGGCAAGAGCAGCACTTTAGATAAATGGAGAAATAGTTTGGAGAAAAAGATTTAATTGTATTATTCTAGTACCTTGGGTCTTTTTCTGTGTAAAAACGTTCATTACGTTTGTTTTCACCAAAAGTGGCTCGATACACATCATGACAGCGAAGATTCCTTTGGAAGGTATAGAATAAAACATCTTCATATTCTTCATCCTTTACCCATTCTGGGAGGGGGGAAAAAAAAGAATTATACATAGCCAACTACTTACAGTTTTTGTTTTTTTTAAATATATTTTTATTGGTTTTGTACAGAGAGGAAGGGAGAAAGATAGAGTTAGAAACATCGATGAGAGAGTCATCGATCAGCTGCCTCTTGCACACCCCCTACTGGGGATATACCCGCAACCAAGGTACATGCCCTTGACCAGAATTGAACCCAGGACCTTTCAGTCCCCAAGCCAACGCTCTATCCATTGAGCCAAACCGGTTTTGGCTACAGGTTTGTTTTTTTTTTTTTTTTTTTTAAAGGCACAGTCCTAGCTGGTTTGGCTTGGTGGATAGAATGTCAGCCTGCAGAACAAAGGGCCCAGGCTCGATCCCCAGTGAGGGATGTGCAGGAGGCAGCCAATCAATGATTCTCTCTCATCATTGATGTTTCTCTCTCTCTCTCCCTCTTCCTTTCTCTCTCAAATCAATAAAAATATTTTTAAAAAGGCACAGTGCATTCTCAATTTGAGTGCCAAAGAAAAGAGATGTGTAAGTTTATCCCTGGAAATCTAAATCTAACATAGGTTCAACTGTATAGAACCTGTGTTATATAAACCTAAAAGCTTTCCAGAGAATAAAATATTATACTACCTCAATTCTAAACTTTCAAGTTGTTATCAGTCTCAGGACACTAAAGTTTATAAATAGGAGAGGAATGGATGTTCATTATTTAGGGAAGACTTTGGTAAAGTCATTTGTTTTTAGGAGATAAATTATGTTTAAATCTAAAACCTCTAACTTTAAGTATGAGGAAATATTAGATCATTTTCTCTCATGCCTAAATGTTTTCTGTCTGCTTTCAAGCCACAGGATATCTCAGACTACCAGATATCCTTTAAAGCTGGGGTTTTCTTGATCTTACCAGAAGCTGTCAGTGAAAGTTTTCACACAATGACATCGTGACTGCCACCTGGCTGACAGTTACTGTAAGGCAGCATTGTATAAAATGCATCCTGATTTTAAGAGAGGTTAAAATGTACCAAATTTATGTATTAGGATCAATTAGATAGGGTATAATTTCAATTCACTGCAAAAGCATCTAGTTATGAAACAATGGGGAAATTTATGACGGAAAATGAAAAAGGGAATATGGTCTAGATTTCTCAATGATCAGTGATAACATTTAAAGTTGGTTCTATTAGTAAAAATATCACAACTTCTACTGATGAGTAAGTTAGTTAGACGACATGTTCCGAAGTTTCTCTGGTAGTGACCTTGGGTAGTTTGCTATCGAATATATAAAGAATGGGCGGACCCTGGAATAGGAGGCACATAGTATGGACTGGAGACCACGGGGGTAAATGGATCAGGCACTCACTTTCTCATTCACTCTCATGGGCAAATAAAATGTTTAAAAGTGTGAACAATTCTCTACATTTGCTTTGTTAAATGGAAGACTGTTGTGGTTGATGGCTTACCAAAACTGGACACATTGGGGAAAGAAGCTACCATGACAGGCTGATCACTGAGCTTCACAACTATACAAGTAGATGCTTCAGAATCTTCCGTTCTTATCTTGGCAGCTACATATTTCTCATCAGGAGCAACTCTGATACAATCAATGAAAGGCTGGTCTAATTTAAGTTCCTCCAAATTGAACAATACCTCGTAATTATCACTGTCTGCTGCATAAAGAAAAAAAATGAAAGAGATAATGCCACAAATGTACTTAAAAATATTTTAAATTGTATTTCAATGTCTTCAATTAGCATTAATCTGCCTGGCTGGGTGGCTCAGCTGGTTGAGCATCGTCTTGTGTCACAAAAAGAATTGTGGGTTTCATTCCCGGTCAGGGCAAATGCAGGAGGCAATCATTTCTCTCTCTCTCTCTCTCTCTCTCTCTCTCTCTCTCAGGGCAAATGCAGGAGGCAATCATTTCTTTCTTTCTCTCTCTCTCTCTCTCTCTCTCTCCTAGTTTCCTGTAGCATTAATGGCAGCTTGATTTGCACAGAAACTGGCATTAGTTATTTAATATTATCCTATGCTATTCCATATTATGCTGTGCATCAATTTATGTGATATTATTCAATACCATTATAGCCTAGTATTTAAAGACCACATAGAACCTAGAAGATAATGTAAATGACATCGACTAATTGTACCTAGTACAGTACCTGGGATATAGCAGATGCTCAAAAAATGCTGGTTCCTATCTCCATTCTTCCTATCAAAGCTTTGAGTATGGCTGCAAACTATATCCTAAATAAACTCAGATATTAAAAAAGAGCCATTTAATAAATATTCAGAAATAATCTAAAAAATTTTTTCTATGCCATTGAGAATATCTAATTTCCTATGAAAAATGTGAAATCTGAAACATCAGAGTATGCTAAAAGGAAAAACTGTGGTATACCTTCTTCATCTTTTGAACGCACCAAGCAGCAACCTTCTTGGTAGTAAACAAAATCTCCATGTTTAATCTGACAATAAAAAGAAATAAATTGTTTATTTAATAATAATACATAATTATTTAACAATTCAAGCATGATTGAATTTGATTAACTGTTTAATGTTCTAACTAGTCAAGATGAAGAAATGGGATTTTTCATAAAAGCATGTTGAAGTTTATAAATGAACACATAAAAACTATAAAATGGATCACTTTTTACAACATAGTGGTTAAGAAATGGTTTTCATGTGTCCACAATCACTGAAGGACTTTCTTATACACAAATGAAAGAGGCAACAAAGAGAAGACATAATGCAATCTATGTTGGTTCTCATGACTGTACAAAGTATTTTAGCTGTATTTTGGGAACATCTAACATCTCTATAGTGGGATTCCATTAACAGACATCAGGAGCATCTTGAAGATAGTCCAGAATGATGTAGGTGAGAAGACTGTGGCTCAGATTGGGCTGAAAACCCAGTCAATATCTTTCTCAGATTCTTTCCTCTCAAATATGCTGTCACCATCAACTGTTCATGGTCTTGATTTTACACAAAGCATATTATTTTCTATGGGTGACAGATATAGACAGTCTGAAACTGAGAGAATAAATAGTGCTCCTGTGTAGTACCTATATATTGAATGTAATTGATTGTAGTAACCATAAAACAGTCAAACAAATATTTGACTTCCATACAACATGACTTACAGTGAATTTCTTTTCATTAAAAAAAGTGTAGCTAGAGCAATCAAATACTTTTCTAATAAGAAAGAAATATGACTTAGTTTTATTTGAAGTTACGCTTGGAATTATTTTTAAAAATTTAAAACAGAATCGTTTTTTGCTAAAAACTACAATTAACAAAATATGCTTGAAAATTCACCTAGGTTTTAACATTTATAATTTACATTGAGGATCATACTTATTCTTTGTTCTTTCAGTTTTTAAGCATATTTTAAAGGCCAAAAGCAGTCTACTTCTGATGTGGATTATGCCTATAAATCACCAGGTAGTTCATTTATTATACATCCTGAGTGGTAATATCAGAGTTAAAAAAAATCATTAATATTCTACCTCTGGATTGATGATTTCATATTCTTCTTGTGGCTGTGTTTCTAATCTTGTTCTCACTTTTTCAAAAGCATCCATGTTTTCTGTAAGGGGTTTTTCGTTTCCTTGTTTAGTAGGCGGACTATCCTGGAAAAAAGTTTTATTGATATGATCATAATATTTCAAACTAGGGAAAGTATCTTGGCTTTTAAAAGATATTTCTTAATTCCTTTTCATGCAAGTACTACAATGGTAGGTCTTTACCTATGTAATAGTACGCCTTTCAAAGATCTTAAATGTCGTTTCTCAAGCTCAATAAATGATCTTTTTTTCACTTAAAAATATAAACAAAGACAATGAGGTGGATACATGTAGCTAAACTATTAATTTAAATGGACAAAACCTTATGATGCAGAATTAATAAGAAGCACTGGAGAATGTTCAGCAATTCTATGGGAAAGGTGTATAGAAAATTAAGCAGTAAAGGAAATCCTATGAAAACTTACATATTTAACTATCAGGACTTAGAAGTATAAAAAAAAAATCTACTGAATTTTATCCAGTACTAAATATCAATAAGACCTCTTGCCCAGGTCAGTGGTTGAGCATCAGCCCATGAACCATGAGGTCATGGCTGGATTCTCGGTCAGGGCACATGCCTTGGTTGCTGACTTGATTCCCAGTGGGGGATATGTAGGAGGCAAAGAATCAATTATTGTCTCTTCTCATTGATGTTTCTATCTCTCGCTCTTCTCCCTTTCTCTCTGAAATCAATAAAAATAAAAAATAAAATATCAATAAATTACCTCCTAAAAGGAGGGATATATTGATGTGAGAGTAAGACATTTTTATTAATAAATGTTCACTATTCACAGCATGAGTTATGGTAAAAAATTTATCCTACATTAGATCTTCATTAGCCATAATTTTCTTTTCTCATGGGGATAAAGAATCCCCCAAATAGAACTGTTGACCAGATAAAAAGATGAATTAATCCTTTATAAAACAGAGCTTTTCTTTGAGTTTAAGTAAAAAATAATATATTCACCGTATAAAAGGAAGAACAAGGGAAAGTAATGAAAAACTAATGAACATAAATAGAGATATCAATGAAAGCTAAATAAGCACTCTATTTTATTGGGAGTATCTAATAAGCTATGAGCTTTAGTTGACCTCTAGTTAGCACACAAATATCATATAAAGTATTGACATTTATATAAGGTAAAACCTCAGTTGTTAAAAAAGAGTTCAATAATTTAACACTCATAGGTTTGCGTCAAGCAAAAGAATCCTAGCCAAGATTTTCATTGTCAAGTTCCAGTCAAAGATGACAACTGTACAGTGACTTGTGCCAGAGGGGTATTAAGTCTTTGGTAAGGACCTCCAACAGCTGATAAATATTTACTGCACAAGTGTGTCCATGGTACTTTACCAACACTTTAGAAAATGTAGGCTATAAATATAGTTTATATCATAAAGCATTTACAATCTAAAATTAAACGTGCAACTAAAATAGAAAACATTAAATGGAAAAACAATCATTTTCACAAAGTTTTTCCTTTAGAAGTTCTGAGATGCTTTTGATTTGGATTAGATTCAAATTAGCAACAATGGTTGTTATGGTAGTCTAAATCATTCAGTCTCTACTTTTTAAAAAAAATATATATTTTATTGATTTTTTACAGATAGGAAGAGAGAGGGATAGAGAGTTGGAAACATCCATGAGAGAGAATCATCGATCAGCTGCCTCTTGCACACCCCCTACTTGGTTGGGGATGTGCCCGCAACCAAGGTACATGCTCTTGACCAGAATCGAACCTGGGACCTTTCAGTCCGCAGGCTCGGCTCAGTCTCTACTTCCATCTTGTAATTATTATCCTTGAGTAATTATGTGAAGTCCAAAAGCTGGAGGCCTTCTTCATTGTTTATTTTTCATTTATATTTGCATTTTTACAAAATCTAGAGTGTCTCTTTAGAGTTGTGAGGCAAAATACTTGTATCAATAATGTTCTACTATCACCTAAAACACAAATCAGATTACTAGAAATCTCTCCTGAAACTGTAACTTAGCAATGGGCTCTGCCTCTTCATTTGCGGATACATGCTCATCTGATCCCTAATCCTATTAGACTTTTTAAAGTAGGCAGTACTGTTTCTACCACCTGGCAGCTCATTGCACATTTTAGGTCAGGGCACTGGGCTGGAGAGGCACAGCCAACACAAGGCTAAAGGCAACAGAGTTTGGCCCAATACCTGCTCTCTTAGTGAAGCTTACTTTACATTCTTAGCTTTTTTCTATGTCAAAAGTCCAAATAAACTGAGCTCATCTGAATCAAAATAACTCTGAAGGCAACAGGATTTTTAACTGCCTTGACAAAAGGCAAGTAGCTTTCAAAAGCCTTGTAGATAATTCCTAAAAATACTTATACCCAGGGAAACAGATTTTTATTTAATATTCATAAAGGACACCAACTTGTTTTGGTTTTATTGTCCCAATAATACACACTATGTTTTTTAAGCTTGCATTCAGTGTCAGCTAGCAATATCATTAGGGTATGCAGTAAAACCTATCCAATTTAGCCTAGTATCTTTTTTAAATAAGAAAATATATATTTTAATTGATTTCAGAGAGGAAGGAAGAGAGAGAAACATCAACAATGAGAGAGAATCGATAATCCAGCTTGCAAATCGGGCATCTGCCCTGACCGAGAATTAAACCGGTGACCCCTTGGTTCCTGGGTCAACACTCAACCGCTGAGCCACACCTGGCTGGGCTAGCCAAGTATCTTAATACATTAACAGTCTACTGGCTTCAAGGGTATACACTACCTAATGGAGCTGAGGTGAGGATAGCTTAAGAAGGCTGCATATACATTATCATGCCATTAGTGGAAAAAGAAGCACTGCTCCCCATTTCTCAGGTGGCCCACCACAAAACCATTTTAGCACTCTAAACATAAGAGAATGGAATGTGTAAACTTCCTTATGGCAAAAATGGTTAACTCTAAAGATAGAAAATGGCACCGTAGAAGGATACTTAGACTGCTTTTAGTTAGGATGGTGCCATTAATAAATGGCTAATTCCAAGTCTTGGGCAGGGAAGAATAAAAAGTAGGCTTAGGACATCTGCCAGAAAGCAAGGAAATGCTCACAGATTATTGAAGACTTGTCAAAGGGCCCGTTTGAAGGGGTTCCTACTAGCCACAATGACAATTTGAGCATCAAAAAGAATAATGACTATAATTGATTATATACACTGAAAAAATTCATAATAACTTGAAAACAAGCAAAAAACCCTCCCCACTAAATTAAAATAAAAAGAGGATACATCAAAAAAAGAAGTCCTTCTTTATGAAATTATACAAGCTAATAAATGTAGAAAGAATAGTAGAATTAGAAGATCATTAACAAGCCCCAGTGAGAGAAGTGATTGGGGTAAAGATCATTAGTGGTTGTTAAACTCATTAGGCGAAATTACGTTGCATAATACAATATTTGCACAGTACCAAAGTATTACCCGACTGATTACTTAGTATTGCAAAGGGAATATTGCTCATTTAACAATGGAGAGAACAAGGATTTAACCCCTTAATCAAAATGATCGAGCATAGATAGCATCATTAATAGTGGGAAAATATATTATATTATATATCTGCAGATACAAAGCATTTCAATTTAAGAAGAAAAAAGAGAAGAGTAAACCTAAAGGGAGTAAAAGAAAAATACAATTAATTTGTTTAATGAAATTGATAAAAGTAAACAGAGGATCAACAAAATGCAAAATTGATTCTTTGAAAAATGTAACAAAAAAGACATGTATAGCAACTGTGGCTTAAAAAAGACATAAACATCGCATTATTAGAGATATAACAGATTTTTAAAAATCACAAAGTTCTTTATGCCACTACATTAGAAAACATAGATAAAATCATACTTTCAAAGGTAGCTTTCTTGAATCTTCAAGGCACAGATAATCTTTTCATATATCAACTACTATTTAAGAAAAAAAATGACCACTACTTAAAACTACCCAACTAATTTTATCAGGCTAAGATAACCTTGAAACTAAAACTGGACAATCACAATATATGACAAAAATCAATATTATTATAAAGTATAGATTTACAAATCCAAAATAAATCAATGTATTTTTAAAAAGCACAACACATGCCCAAGCTGATTTGGCTCAGTGGATAGAGCACTGGCCTACAGACTGAAGGGTCACAGGTTCAATGCTGGGCACGGGTACATGCCTGGGTTGCAGCTCGATCCCCTGTAGGGATCCCCATGCAGGAGTCAGCCAATCAATGATTCTCTCTCATCATTAATTTTTCTATCTTTCCCTCTGCTTTCCTCTCTGAAATTAATAAAAAATATATTTTAAATAAATAAATAGCACAAAACAAAAACAATAACAGTAATGAAACCCTGAGTGACCAAGAAGGATTTATCTTTAGAGTAAAAGGATAGTTCAATATTAGAAAAAATGTATTAATGTAATGTAACACATATAAAGGAGGTAAATCTTAGGGAAATTTAAATTAAAACAGGAGGAAAAAACCCCACACTTTAAAAAACATAATAAAACCTTAAATTAGGAATAGAGAAGAACTTCCCTGACTTGATAAATGGTCTCCCTATTGTTTGAAACAGGACCATAGCAAATCTGTAAATAACATACCCAAAGTATATTCATATTAGTACACATTTTTTTACTGATTTTAGAGAGAGGAAGGGAGAGAGAGAGAGAAATACCAATCAGTTGCCTCCTGCACATGCTCCAGCTAGGGATCGAACCCTCAACTGCCCTGACCTGGAATGGAAGTCACATCCCCTTATGTATGGGAATAATGGCTCAACCAACTGAGCCATATCGGTGGGGCAGTACACATCTTATTTAAGTATCTGTGAAATACTTTCCAAGAATCTTCATTATATTCATTTAAAATATCTAGTTATATTTGTTGTTTATATTGTTATTCAAAAGTGATTGTTAAAATGAAACAAAGTAATTGTTTCACTTGCTCCTTGCCCCCAATTGCTCTCTTCCCTCTTCTCTGGATGTCTGCCCTTCTCATTCTATTAATTGCTCATGTCAAAATCAATGATGACCCATTGCAGTCCCCGTACTGCAAAGAAAGGGCACATGTTAATTCTAGTATTTACACTATTTGAGTTATCAGTATCATGGCACAGATGAACACTTCCTTTTCTTAACACTTTCCTTCACTTGGCTCCCAGGACACCTCATTCTCATTGCTTTGCTCCTAATTCTGCCCTTTTTGTCTCTGTAGCTGGTTCCTTCTTAACTCTCTGGCTTAACATTGGTACTCCCTGGACTGCAGTTTGCACTAATTCCCTTAGTGATCTATCTCATCTAGCCTCACGACTTTAAATGCTATTTATATGCTGAGGCCTCCCAGATTTATATTTGATTTATGGTTAGTAACAGATTTTCAATAAGGGTGCTAAGACAGTTCCATGGGAAAAGATCTTTTCAATAGATGGTGCTGGGATAATTGGATATCCACAAGCAAAAGAATAAGGGAAAGACATTAATTAAAGAACATATATGCATAGGCCATGGACACAAACAATAATGTGGTGAAGGCCTGGGGTGGGGTGGGGCTGGGTGGAATGGGGCAAAAGGGAGAATGGGGGATGTCAACAACACACACACACACACACACACACACACACACACAAATAAGGAAAAGAAAAGAAAAGGAGACAAGAAAAAAATCTGGTTAGGAGCCTTTACCAGTGGTCCAGGAAAAAGATGACTGAGATGACGACAGAGATGGAGAAACATGAACAGATTCAATATGTATTTTGGAAGTCAATGCAGTGTTTCTGAAAACATCTCAGATATGATGGTATACATAATTTGGATATGAATAATTTATTAGAAAGAATATAGCATCAGACTGATGATTTACTGAATATTATTTCTTGGGATAAGGCAGGTTGATTAGACTAAAATAAATAATAGCCTTCGTGGTAAAAATCCCGAAGCTAGTTCAGGATACACTGTTAATGGATGTGATGGAACAGGAGGGATAAACAATGTTTCCCTGTGTTCCAGCTTGAATAACTGAGCACAGAAAGAGTCGAGTCGGAGTTGCAAGAGTTGAAGTTCAACTATGGACACAGTTTGAAAAAGTGAGATGTCCACGATGTGCAGCTCGAAGGGGAGTTTGGAAGGAAGGTAACTGCTATCTCATTTAAATCCACTATAGGTAAAATTACAATACTTAAGAAGAGAGAAAAAGGGGCCAGGCCTAAGGTCTGAGAAACCCCAAAATTTAGAGGTCATATAAAAGAGAAGTTAGAAAAGGAGAGTGAGGATAGGTTTGTAAGGTAGAAGGCAAGCCAGGAAAACATTACCTTATATAAATAGGTCTGTACTTTAAGCAAATATGTTTTGTCTATAGGAACTAACTACTTTTTCTTCTTTATTGCACCCATAAGAGGACAAAATTGAAACCGAGTAAATGCTGGTTGAAAGGAAATGTGCCTTCTTGGCTATAGGTCTCTTCACAGCTTCTCCAGGTCCCAGTGACCACTGAGAACAGAGATCAAAGCTTTTAGATAGTACCTTTCTCTAAGACAGAATGGTTGACATATGAAAGCAGACCAATTTATTAGGCAAAAGAATTACTAAAAGAGCCCCTTAACTTGGAGTCATCAAATCAAGATAAAGTTTCCAGGTGATAGGTATCTACAGAAGCGAACTGACAAGTTGCTTCAGGAACAAATGGAGGGGGGAAAAAGTCAATCTCCTGCACAAGTGTGACCTAGTATCTCAGCTGTAACTCTGATGGTAATTCCTGCCTACTATTTATAAACTAAGATTCAACATAAAAGCACAAGATGACACAATGTTCTAAACACATACAAAATAAAATGATCTAAAGGTCTAAAATGTGTCCAATCGGTAACATTTAAGTCTATCTTTCTAAAGTATGCTAAAGTTACACGTGTGTGTAGTACACACAAAAGGTAAAAATGAAATAAAGGAAGGCATAAAGAATTCCTGCATGAGGGAGCACCTTCTAGTTGCTAGATGGGATGTTATCCCTTTCATGAATTACCTAATAAAGCCAATTAGATCTTAAAAAAAAAGAATTTATAGAAAGAATTGAAGTGCTAAATTAAGATGCTATAAAAAGAAAAATAATTTGAAAGACTAAAATGTAAGGAGTGATAAAACATGAAATAAAAAAATGCAAGGAGTAAAACTTTAGGAACTAACTGATAAAAAGTTAAATGCAAAAAAACAAAACAAAAAAAAAATCACACACAAAACCCATAAGTATTAGTTTAAAAAGCAATAATTAAATAAAAGACACAGATAAACCAAGTAAAATAATATTAAAAAATAATTTCTAAAATTAGAAGAACTTGCTCCAGTGTCTCTCAATAGATGAATGTACAAATAAAATGTGGTATAGACCAGTGTTTTTCAACCTTTTTTGGGCAAAGGCACACTTGTTTCATGAAAAAAATCACGAGGCACACCACCATTAGAAAATGTTAAAAAATTTAACTCTGTGCCTATATTGACTATATATAAAGTAATTCTCTTGAATAGGAATCAAATAAACACAAAGAAAGTATTTTATAATTACTTTATTATGAAATATTAAGTAAACAAAATAGTGAAAAATTATAAAATTCTTGTCTTGTCTGCACCTACGGCACACCAGGCAACATCTCGCGGCACACTAGTGTGCCGCGGAACAGCGGTTGAAAAACGCTGGTATAGACATACAATGGAATATTATTCAGCCAAAAAAAGGAATAAAGTTCTGATATATGCTATAACATGGATGAACCTTAAAAATATTATGCTAAGTGAAATAAAACAGGCACAACAGGGTAAATATTATGATTCTACTTACTATATTTGAATTACCTAGAATAGGTAAATTCATAAAGACCAAGTAGGTTAAAGGTTACCAGGGGCTCAAAAAAGGTAAGACATTGCTTAATGGGTATATGTTTTTGGGTGATGAAAGGGTTTTGGAAAGAGATAGTGGTGATGACTGTACAACATTGTGAACGAAATGAATGCTATTAAATTACACTTAAGAAGGGTTTAAATAGCAAATTTTATATGTTGTATGTTTAACTATAAAAAACGAGGAAGTAAAAATAGAGTTAAGAAGAAAATTCAGTATGCAACAAAACAGTTAAAACCAGAAATTAAGATAATAAAATATTGAAAGTATAACAAGCATAGGGTAGGGTAGGTATTTCAAAGCAGCAGCAATATAAATAAATAACTCCATCTCAAACAAGTAGGATGAACATATAATTTACCATCCTAACCGGGACACTTTGAGAGGAAAGGAGACACTATTAATAATTACACAGGGACAGCAGGTGTAGCCTGACACCATCCCAGGCAAACCCGGATGTGTTACTCTACATATAAGGGCAACTGGGTTCTCAAGGTAGACGTCATGAATGCAGCTTGGGGTCTGGCCAAAGCACAATAGTCTGAAAGCATCTTCCTAAAGGACCCAGTGGTAAAAAATGCAAGTCTTTTTTTTTCTTTTCCTTTCCATTTTATTTGTTTGTTTGTTTATTTATTTATTTTTTTAACACAGAAGTAACACACAAGTACATGGCCTTTACTGAAGTTTACTAATTTGGTATTCAGAAAAAAATTACTATACTAGTAGATTGTATTAAGAGCTATTATGATAGTCTAGAAATTTTAGAAAACTGAATTATACTTTGAGTTACATTGGTAGGCACACTAAGGAATTTCTAAGGTGAGTCATTACATGAATCTATATTTTTATATATTAAATTAGAACTTTATAAATATATACTTTTATACTTAATTTGACTATAGATAACTGTAGACATTAAAAAAATCAAACTAGAATTATCGTTAGGCTAAAATTAATCTTAACGACCTACAGATAGGTAAACTTAAACAATCCATACCTTCGATGAGAAGCTCCGACTTGGGATGTTTCTTGCTAACTCTGATATCTTGGGCTTATTCTGCAGACACTTGGTTAGGTGATATTTTTTCAACTTTATTCTACTGTAATAATGACCAGCGAAGTTACAGTGACTCAAGTGCTGTTTCTGCATGCATTTCCCAAGGTGAGGAATACTATACTTCAAAGCTTGGAGAAACAATTTGCTCTTCTGCTGCATGATAACAAAGTCCCTGGTTTATGGTCGCTTTGGGGCTGCCAGCACAAGTGATTTCATAGGTCTGATTATACAGTACCTAAAACCCGCAGATTTTATCCCCCCTTCAGGGTCATACAACCCTAGAGGGTAAGGAATAACTGCAGACAGCTGAGAACTCAGGTTAAAAAATATGTGATAATGTGTATAAGTTAAAGTTTCATTCAAATCATACTTCTTGGCAGGTGTGACAGAAATGTTTCATTTGTAAAGTCAGTCCTATCACGTTCAAACCATGCAGCACTGATTCTGGTACACATAGGGGAAAACTAAAAAACAAAACAACAACACATAACAAAAACACAAAACACACACAACAAAACAAAAAACAAAATAAAAATTTGCAAATAAGTACATGGAGTTTAATGGGGGCCTCTCTGGGACTCTGAGGGTTTTTAAAAGGCAAAATGACTCTGATTTTATATAAGGGCCTGATAGAGTAGCTATTATAACATCATTGTGAATATTTTACAGGAGAGCAAACTGTGGCTCTGGGAAGTTTAAGCAATTGCCCCAGGTGACTTGGAGTAAGAAGTAGAACAAAGAGCCCAACATGGTTTGGCTCCAAATCTTGGGACCAACTGGACATAACCATGGACTTTACTATTAGAAAGGTAGTTAGCTAAACAAACAAAAGTCCTTCAGGATGCACCAACAAAATGTGAGAGCATCTCTGATTTGTTTGGGAAGTTGGTCCTTACTAACTTATCAAGGTAATTAAAACTAGCAAGTAGTTAACAGAGAGGGTTGGGTTCCGGCCTTCACTCCTGCACTTTCTACCTGTGCCTCAGTTTCCTGATCTGCAAAACTGAGACAAGGGCACCCTTCGCCCTATGGAATTGATGCAAGAATAAGATGAGACCATTTATGCTAAGACCTGAGTACAGTGCCTGCTAAGACCTTAGTTACAGGATGACCGCTACCATTAGGACAGGAAACATGTCGGTATGCTGCACAGTGCGGAATGCCACCATGCAGTAAGCCACAGGCCCTTCGGTTGCCAAAGGGACCAGACTGCGTCAGTTTCGCTCCCGCTCGGATGCGCTGCCAGGCCAACGCCCCCGCCGCCCCCCCCCCCCCGCCCCCCGTCTCTGTGTCGCAGCAAAATAACGGGCGAGCGAGAACAGGGGATCCGTAGCAAAATAAGTAGAAATAAACAAACAACCTAAACCATTACATCCATGCGGGCAGCAGCCTGAATCCACCCACCTTCCATCCGCAGGGAGAAGACACGAGGCAAGGACGGGGATGGGGGTGGGGCCGATGAATGGGTGTTCCCGGGAGAAAACTGCGTTTTCCCGGTGCAACTCTCCACCCCAGGGATGAGGTGGCGATTTGAGTGCGAGAGGGAGTAGTACCCCGTGTGCCAGGCCAAAAAGCCAGACCAAGGGGCTAAGGGATGGCTGTGTGTGTGTGGGTTGGGCAGGGGAGATGGGGGGAGGGATGGAAAAAGGGGAGAGACCCCCCCCAGCATACGCTACCCATACCTACGCAAATGCAAAGGCCGTCTGACTCTGGACGCCGGCACGAGGGAAGGCAGGCCGCCCAACGGCCCCGAAGCTCTTGGGAAGGAGCGAGGGTGCGACCTCGAGCGCGTCCGGCGCCGTCTGCGCGCTCCAGCCCGCAAGACCGCAGCCTGCCCAGAGCTGCCCAGCGCTGGTTTGCAGCACGCCGCCGACGCACCCCCGCGGCCTAGCACGTGCGCGACGCGTAATCCGCCATCTTTATTGTGGGCAAGGGCGGCTCTTTTGCGGTCTCCTGGGCTCTACCACCGGCGAAAAAGGACAAGCCTTCTGGCTCGTTGCTAGCGTTCCAAACTAGAGATGCGGCAGGGGAAAAGAACACCAACAGGGGCCGCGTCTCACTAGCTCTGCCACGACTCCCTCGCCAGCCCGCGCCGCCCTCACTCAACATGGCCGCCGGGAAAATGGTGCAATGACAGGACGACCAGCGCGGGCCTGGTTGCCAAGGAGACGCGGAAACCGGAAGTGCGGGTCCCTAGTAGCCTCCGGGCAGTGGGCGGGCCCATCGGCGTCACGGGTCCTGACAGGGAAGACGTGGGCAGGTCCTGGCAGGGGAGAGTCGTGCTGGCAGCCGCTGGTGTGGAGGTGGCACCTGCGGGATGGAATCTCGAGTCCCAGACGCCCGGACCGGGGAGGCTGAGCGCGCCTCGGGCGAGGGCACGGCGCGGGGCGGCGGCGCGGCCCCGGGCCCCGCGGTCTCCTCGCGCTTGGGAGCCGCCCGGTGGAGGCTCCTGCGGCAGGTAAGGCAGAGCCCGCCCGCCCGCCTCACCTGGGCGCGGGGCCCCTTCCCCTCGGTGGATCGGGCGTGCGATCGGCAGGTCTTCCCCCCTCGCAGTGTCGTCCGGAGCCACCTCAGAAGTGTCTTCTTGCTTCTCCTAGAAGGATCCCACCAACGGAGGGGAGCCAGGTCGGGGTGGGGGTGTGTGGGAAGGAGCAGCGCCCCCCCCCCCCCCCCCCGAGTTTTAGGGAAACTCCGAGCGAAGTGGACAGTCCCGTTCTAGACACATGTCTGCGTCTCCCTGCACGCCGATCGGATGGGCAGGACCACCGGCCCCGGTCTGTCCCGGCCCCAATCTTTTCTTTCCCGCGTCTGTTTAATTTCCTTTCCCAGGTGTCTTCTTGCTGCTTACCTCCCAGCCCGGTTCCAGCCCCAGGTCCGGCCCCTGTCGTGGGCACCAGCGCGGTTGACGGTGTTGGGACTTGGCGGTGGCACGCGTCACCCCGGTTTCTTCCGTGCCCGACTCCTCTTTGGGGTGTGCAAGTTACTTGAGCATCTTGTAGGGTGAGGAGATGGACGAGGTTCTTTCTGGCTGTCGCAGGTGGAAGAGTTTGTTTCCTGGCGGTTATCTTCTCGTACTGCTCGTATTGCAAAGTGGCTGCTATGGGCTCCTAACTTCAGCCCAGGGTGCTGATTAGTCAGTGCCCATGGGACATCACTGACGCTTTACAAACTGCGGGAAGTGAAGGCTGTTTATTGTTGTGCCTCTGCCTGAGGCTGCCTGATGAAAACTGGACTCCAGCGGACACTTTCCATTTCTTTTTAATTTCTTTTTTCTTTATTGATTATGGTATCACATAATTGTCCTCATCCCCCCATTCCCATCCCAACCCCTCCCTACATATGCCCCCACCCCCCCTGTTGTCCATGGCCACTGGCTAGGCCCATATGCATGCACACAAGTCCTTTGGTTGATCTCTCCCCCTTACCCCCTCCCTCCCCTACCTTCCCTCTGAGGTTTGAGAGTCTGATCGCTGCTTCTCTTTCTCTGGGTCTGTTTTTGTTCATCAGTTTTATGTTGTTCATTATCCATTTCTGACATCTTCCCAGAAGAGTTTTTTCCAGCTCTTGTCACTTACTTTACCGGAGATGGTGCGGTTAGTACTTTGGGGTTTATTTTGTTTGCAGAGTCACCTTTGCATATGGTGACCTTCCAGTGCTGTCATAACATAACTCGAAGAGTGTTTCTTTGTTGATGCATTGGAAGTCTTCCCAGAGCTGGTTTTGCTAATAATGTTACAAATCCTCCTATATAATAAAAGCCTAATATGCTAATCGACCAAACAGCAGAAAGATGGTGGGTGTTTATGACCTGCTCAAAGCAGGAGCTGTCCCCAGCCCATAGGCCGTGACTGGTGATGGCAGAGGGCGGGGCTGGCAAGTGAGCTGCACCAGGCCAGCCAAGGTGGGTGCCAGTGGGCTTCCCCCCCATCATCCCGCTGGTCACTCCACATATCGGCCTGATTGCTGGTTAGGACTAGGGATGCTACCTGTGCACAAATTTTGTGCACCGGGCCTCTAGTAGGATAATAAAGTGAATGTTCTTCATACATCATTATCATAGGAACTTTCTGTAGTGAAGTAAACATCAGTTAAAGTCTAATTATGAAAGTACGGTAGTAATTTAGGGCCTTAAGTTAATCTTATTGTGATGACTTCTGTGATTCTTAGTATAGGAAAAACTCTGGTTGACCAGCACTGATGTTCATTCTGAATTGCTGTGTACACGAGACAAGTTTCAACTATGAATGCCACTTGAACTCCCCACAGGCTTTGACATTCAATGTTTCACTGTACACCTGCCCTCTGCATAAAGTCTTTATCTTCTTCTCTACTTGATGAATGAATGTGTATCCTTCAGGCCTCCATTTCAATCTCATCTTTTAGCGAAGACTAACTCATCTGGACTGAGACCGTTAGTTCGTTCACTTCTGGTGAGCCCCAAATCACATTACTTTATGATCATTTGATCAGAGTCCATCTTTCTCACAAGAATGGGAATTTTCTCTGGGAAAAGATATTTTATGAATCTCCATCCTCTGCACCTAGCACAGGGCCTGGCTAGTTGGCTTTTAGTAGATATTGTCAATTGTTGTGGAAAACCTTAGAGTAAAGAAAGTCTTTAAGTGGTCCACAGCACCTAGTCCTCAGTGTATTGCATCAGCTAGCTATTGCTGAGTAACAAATAGCTACAACATTACAGCGGCATACATCAACAACCATTTATGCTGCTTGTGCATATGTAGGCCAATTGGGAGTTATCTCATATAGGCTGTGATCAGCTGAGGGGCTCTGTGCTACATTCTTGGTCCACATGGTTCTAATCCTTGGACCAGTTGGTATAAGAGAGCAAACCTAACCACTGAAACACATTTTAAGCTCCTGCTAACATCCTGTTGACTAAAGTAAGATACTTGGCTAAGCCTAAGGTCAAGGGGCAGAGAAATATACCGTTTCTTAGAGGGGGCAAGGGAAGAAGATTCAGATTTGAAGTTTTTTGTTTGTTCGTTTGGTTTGGTTGGTCAAGATGATGGTGTTGTATACTTTCTCTTACAGTTGTTATCAGTAATCACAGTGATGTCTGGTTATTTCTCTTTTTTGGTGATGGTTTACCTAGGTTCATGAATTCATGAGGAGTGTGTTGAAATGGTGATATTCTAATTCTGTTATCCCTTCTTCATTATTACTTGAAAAACTACCATAAAGAGAAATTTCCCCTGATCTTCTACTTGGACTCTCAATTACAGTTCATATAGGAAAGACAAGAAGTACTTGATTCTTTTTTTTTTTTTTTTTTTTTTTTTAATGTTTTCTTTTTCTCCACCCTCCAGCCATTCCCACCCTGGGAAAGCCCCTACTGCCCCAGTGTCTGTGACCATTGGTTATGCTAATATGCATGCATGTAAGTCCTTTGGTTGCTTTCCCTCCCCTGCCATTTGAAATATGCATGAGAGAGAAACATCGATCAGCTGCCTCCTGCACACCCCCTACTGGGTATGTGCCCGCAACCAATGTACATGCCCTTGACCGGAATTGAACCTGAGACCCTTCAGTCTGAAGGCTGACGCTCTATCCACTGAGCCAAACTGGTTTCGGCTAACCCCTTAATTTTGTATGGCCTTCTTGTTTTCTTGTGTATGATGTTTTAGGTTCATCTTGTACAGGGTGTGGCAAAAGTGGGTTTACAGCTGTGAGTATGCAAAACAGCTTATTTTGGTATTATTTATTAATTATGATATTATTTTCCATACGAACAACTGTGAGCCTACTCCTGCTCCAACCTGTACAGTTCCTGCCATTTTATAACTAAACACAGTGGATGTGGCTGTTGTTAGTAGTTTTATTTGCCTGCATTGGATGCTTAGCATATTACACTTTTATTACATTCAAAGCTCTGTCACTCTGAGGAGAGGCTTAGCTATTGCTTACGTACACGACCTGGTTATGTACACGGAATTTATGTTTATATAATATGATCACAATCTTTGGTTTCATTTCAAAGGTCCTGAAGCAAAAACACCTGGATGGTTGTCTACGACATGTATCTGTAAGAAGATTTGAATCATTTAATCTGTTTTCAGTAACAGAAGCCAAAGAAAGGGAAACTGAAGAGGAATGTGGTGCATGGGTCCAATATACAAGTGTCTTCTTCCCTGAATACAGTATTTCCTTAAGGTAAACATCACAGTTAAGATTTTGTTCAAAAAAACTAATTAACCATCTATGGATAAAATAAAAAGCCTTTTTCACCTGGCCAGAGTGACTCAGTTGGTTGAGCATCGTCCCGTGAACCAAAAGGTTGCTGGTTTAATTCCAAGTCAGGACACATGCCTGGGTTTCAGGTTTGATTCCCAGTTGGGGAGCATATAGATTATAGAAGGTAGCCAATTGTTTCTCTTTCACATCAATGTCCCTCCCCGCCTCCTTTCCTCTCTCCTTCGAAGCATGTCCTTGGGTGAGGATTTGAAAGAAAAAAAAAGAAAAAAAAAAGGCATTTTCCTCTTATAAAAGAGAAACAATAATAACCTCATTGTTCATTCTATTGAGTTTGCAAGTCATCTTTATCAGAAATTATGTTTCCTAACTTTGTGTTAGGAATTCCTGCTGCTTCAACTTGTTCTTGCTGTATTATCAGAAATAAGAAAAAATTTTCAAAAATGTAGTGACATTTGAGGATAAACTGTGGCGTAAATCAAAGGGTTCATTTAACCATTCTCTCATAGCATTTGATTATGACAAAAAGCCAAGTTCTTTGTGTGGCAAGGAAGGCTGAAAGTGAACACAGAATTTTTCTAAGCTACTCTTCAAGTAGTAGTTATCTAAAAAAATCAAGCTTTGGTATTTATCCCATTTATGTTTTGTCATTTTCAGAATAGAATCTTAAGAATAGGAGGAGAGAATTCAACTGAACACACTGATATTGTGAGAAGCATGCAGACTGTTCTGGCTTTAAAAATCAGACATAGTTGCAAACTAAAGTAGCAAGATCCTATTTTTATTGAATTACTTTTCTCTCACAGCTTTAATCTAGCATGTTGCAATATTACTTTAGGTGTTTGATATGCCCCCTTTTTAAATAAGATTTCACATTTTGAAATGGAGGGAGGAGCACATTTACAGTAACTATAAGAAGAACAAAAAACATTTTAAGCAAAAATGTGACTGAATAAGGTTTTGGTAAGGCTAAAAATACTTTCAAGAAAAAAAGTTCTCCAAAGGATGTCTATTTATAGTACACTAGAGGCTCGATGCACAAAATTCATGCAAGAGTAGGCCTTCCTTCTCCCAGCTGCTGGGCACTGGCTTCCCTCTGGCACTTGGGATCCAGGCTTCCCTCCAGCCACCAGAAGGCACCCACATCCCAGGCTTCCCTCGCAGGAAGGACGTCTGGTCTAATTAGCATATTACACTTTTATTATTATAGATATTAGAGGCCCAGTGCATGAAAAATTTGTGCACTCTTGGGGAGGGAGCGTCCCTCAGCCCAGCCTTTGCCCTCTCACTGTGACTGAGAGGAGCTCCACCTGTGGGAGCGCACTGACCACCAGGGGGCAGCTCTAGCACTGAGCATCTGCCCCCTGGTGGTCAGTGTGTGTCACTAGTCATTCCACTATTAGGGTTAATTTGCATATTACCCTTTTATTATATAGGATTTCTTGAACTATTTTAGTTTAAAATATTTAAGCTTTAGAGACACCATAATAGCTAAAATTTGGGATTTTGATAAAAATTGACTGGGCTCAGCAGGGAAGAACAACTAGGAACTGTTTTGAGAACTTCAAATGAAAGATAAGAACTTTTGGGTTAGTTAGCTTGCCTGTACATTCTTTATGAGATTCTAATTAGAACACCTCAATTGCCTCACATTCTAATGGAGATACTTAGTTTGGTCCGTGGTTAAGAAAGAAAGAAAAATGCATTAAATGCTTAGTATGAGCCAAATATAGAGGGTGGTGCTTTGATGTATTCTAATTCATGTAATCCTTACAATAACTCTGGGGAATAGAAATGAAGATAAACCATTGGAAGATAGTATATATGAGGAAATTAAAGAGAGGGAAAAGCAGAGTGATTCAGTAGGGGTCTTCAGGTACAAAGTTCTAAAACATATCTTTTACATCCACTGGTGACAAGAAGCAATAAATGCGCCAAAAATAATTTCCTGATGTCTGCAACGCCCTGGAAAGCATTGCCAGCGAGCAGGTGACATCTGTTATTCTTGAGAACTTTCGAAATAAGACGTGGATAGAGATGACCTGGAAGCCAGGCTCGAATGTAAACTGAGACTCCTCTCCAATAGGTTGTGATATATTCAGTTTTGGAAGAATAAATACAGGTATGTCTATATAAATATGACATTTAATCCTACTTTATGGAGAGAAAAGAGGTGACTGAGTTAAAAACTTGTCCTACCCTGTTTGGCTCAGTGGATAGAACGTCAGCCTGCAGATCGAAGAGTCCCGGGTTCGTTTCCTGTGAAGGGCAGGTACCTTGGTAGCAGGCTCCTCCCTGGCCTGGGCCCTGGTCAGGGCACATTCAGGAGGCAACCAATCGATGTGTTTCTCTCACATGGATGTTTCTCTCTTTCTTTCCCTTTCTCTTCCATTCTCTCTAAAATCAATGAAAAAGTATCCTCAGATGAGGATTAAAAAATATTTGCCCGAGTAACTTTAACACAACTCTAGAACTGAATGTGATCTTAGAATGCATTTAAAAAAATTCTAACAGCATTAATAATGGCTGACTATTGAGTGCCTACTATGTGACAAGCACTGTTGTGAATGGTTTACATGTATTAGCTTATTTAATCCACATAACACCGTATAAAGTAAATACTGTCATTATCCTAATTTTATAGATGAGGAAAGTAAGGCCCAGAGAAGTTAAATAATTCGATTGGTTATGCTTCTACTCAAACCCTGGTGGTCTGGTTCCACAGCCTGTACTTTCAAACAGTTTTATTTTGAAATAATTATAGACTCTCAGGAAGTTGCAAAAATAGTACAAGGAGCTCCAGGTACCTTTCACCCAGCTTAACTCTACACATCTGGCCTCTTAGGAGGCAGTTATGCATCTATTTATTCATTTTTCAGATGAAAGGATTGAGGCCTAGTAAAACCAATTTCCTCATTGATTATTCTGAGTATTCCATTTCTTATTCCATAATTCTGTTAATAGGAAATTGCAACAAAAATTACTGACATTGCTTAGGGGAGGATTTCTTACAAGAATACTTCATTCCATTCCATTGCCAATATTGTTCATGTTGGCTTCAACACTATGGAATGATTGAAAAAACATGATGAATAATTTAAAATAAATTCAAATAAAATATTTATTAGTACCTTCTGTGTAGATAAACAAAAAGAAATATAAAATATATTATCCTCAAGGAGCTGAAATAGGTGAAAAGTGAAATAATAAAAAATAATTAAGCCATGGCCAGTGTGACTCAGTGGTAGAGTATTGGCCTGAGTCATGGGTTCAATTCCCAGTCAAAGACACATACTTGGGTTGCAGGTTTGTTTTGCAGCCTGACCGAGGTGTGTGTGGGAGGCAACACATCCGTGTTTCTCTCTTCCTCCATCCATTCCTTCCCTTCCTTCTTTCTACTCTAAAAATCAATGGTAAAAATATCCTCAGGTGAACTACTATTTTTTTAAATAATAGTTAAATAAGAAGGAAAGTTAAGTTAAACATCTATTCTAAAAGTTATCACCAGGTAATGCATAACTAATTACCAAATGAGTGGAAAAGTTCATGCATATTAGGAGTTTAGGGTAGGAGTGATTTTTGAAGGCCTTGAGGAACAGCAGTTTAAAATGGATCTGGAAGTATATGAACATTCTGGGAGAACGGAAGAAATCATTCCCGGTGAGGGCAAAGGCACTAGAAAATATATAGCGGTCAGCAAGCACAAGGCATAATCATCAGCGGCTACTGAGAAAACCAGTCTCTCTGGGGAGGAATAGTGATCAATAAATGTTATAACATGGATTTACTTTTGGGTTCTAATAATGGGCTGAACATTTGGGATGCCTTATTCCTCACAGATCATAAATATAAACTCCATTTTCGAATCTTTAGTTCTTATCACCTAAGATCACCTGCCACAGTTTAACAGAGATGATGAATACTAGTACATGGTGATTAATACTTATCAATACTTTTTATTAGTCTTATCCTTCTTAAAATTTTCCTACATATTGATTTGTTTCTTTAAATTTTTTGTTTGTTTTTGTAAAGTTTTACTGGACTTGAAATCAATATTCCAAGAGGGTAAATACTTAGATAATTAAGATATTTTTTATCTTTTTTATACTATTAAAAGGTATATAAGCAGTGGTCCACATTAAAACTTTGTCCTTTTATTTTCTGATAGCTTTACTTGGTGATTCTTAAAATGAAAGAATAAAGAATTTCCCTTGGTAACTTTTCATCAGAATCAAAGGTCTGGACAATGTAAATATTATGTTATGAAATCCCTAAGATCTATTGTCTTTTCTATATACCTGGAATGGTCGACTCATTGTTCCAAAGTGAGTGTTGAGAATTAGGAAATCAAATTTCAGGATGTGACGTGTATTTTATTCCTTGGCAAATTTTTCTTGTTTTTCTGGTGCTTTATTTCTTAGAACTTTATAGAAGAGGCCCTTGCTATTAGATAGACACCTCTATAGGAAACAAATATATAATAGGGGATGTTTATACTAAAAATCTTCCATTAAAAATTCTTTCTCCCAGATTTATAAGCTGGAATCTGTTTTCATACAGAATTTTTTGTATGGATACTAGAAATTGTTCCCCACTCCCCCCCATATGTCAATTTATTTTTAGTGTAGTAGGAATGTATATATTCTGAAAGCTTTAAAATACTTCCATTATATTTGGAACCATAGAATTGCCTGAAATATTCATTTATAAATATATACACATCTTGGGTATAGAAAAAGCTGAGAGGCTTAACTGTCCTCCTTTCTTGATGATAAGACTCCTGTTGCTATGGTAATTGCTGAATTAGAAAACTCATGACTTTCGGCTTGTCCTAATTGCTTAGAGTGGGCAAGAAGTCAAGAATGAGTTTGTCTTTGTGATGCATCTTTCTAGTAAAACAAATACACTACAGTAAGATCATATTGCTTCTCTGGGGAAAGGAAAAAGTAAAGCAAATTCTCACCCCACTGAATTTCGTAAGTATCCTGTGATAAAAAATAGTGATGGGAATGGTATGTTTACGATATTAGATGTATGGCATCCTTATACAATATATGTGGGTATTATAGATGCCCATATAAAGCTTGGCAAGGCTGGCATCTGAGGCAAATATGAACACTGAAGTTATATTTAAAAAGTAGTTTTAATGTTAGTAGTGTGAATCCTGAGAAGGAAGATACTAAAAAGGGCTGCCGGTGGCCAACTGGGCTCAAATTCAAACAAAACGAAACATAACCTAGCAGCCAGTTAAAAACTATATTTTTGTATTGATTACAGAGAGAGAGAGAGAGAGAGAGAGAGAGAGAGAGAGAGAGAGAGAGAGAGAGAGAGAGAGAGAAACATCAGTGATGAGAGAATCATTGATTGGTTGCCTCCTACATGCCCCACACTACGGATCAAGCCCGAAACCTGGGCGTATGCCCTGACCGGGAATCTAATGGAATTGAACCTCCTGGTTCATAGATCAATGCTCAATCGCTGAGCCATGCTGGCTGGGCTTAAGGATCCATATATTAATATATGGCTCTTATATTTAGGAAAAAGTGATTTTGAGTTTCATGCTATTGCTGATAATTTTAATGGCTTCATCTTGTATTTTAGATGGTCAATACATTGTTTTCTCTCCTGTCTCAAGTGTGGATTTCCATGTTAGTGTAAATCTCAGCTTGCTTGCACAGAGAAGATACAGAATCATTGTGTTATGGTGTTGAAAGTTTGGTTTGTGGTTGGTAACTTCATTACCTTAAAATATGATTTTGTTGAGCCCAAGGCTTATTTGGCAAATAACTTTTTGCATTTTCACTTAGTCACTCTATCAAAGAACTAGGTCGCTGTGATAAAAGTGAAGTTTTTTTATTATTATTATTTTTTTAAGGTAATACAGTTTACATGTATTCTTTTACTATATACATGCATTAGTTTTTCTAGGGATCCTAAAACAAAACACTGCAGACTGGATGGCTTAAACAACACATTTATTTTCTCAGTTTTGGGTCTAGAAATCTGAGATCAAGGGGTTGCAGGTTTGGTTTCCTTTCTGGCCTCTCTCCTTAACTCGCGTTGGCTGCCCTCTTGCTGTCTCTTCAGTAGTTCCTCTGTGCACGTGCCCTGTTGTCTGTGTCCTAATCTCCCTTTTTAATAAGGACACAAGTCATAATGGATTAGGGCCCACCCTAATGACCCCAGTTTAATTTAATTACCTCTTTAAGGCCCAATCTCCCAAATTTTGAGGTACCAGGGTTTAGAAATTCAACAGATCAATTTTGGAAAAGATACAATTCATTTCATAATATTCTATATCATTTATGATAAGGTTTAATGACAAGATTAAAGTAGTGTTGTTGAGGTAAGTTTTATTATAAACTAGAGGCCTGATGCACAAAGATTCATGCCAGAATGGGCCTTCCTTCCCATGGCTGCCGACACCGCCTTCGCTCTGGCTGGAGCTGCCTTTCCGCCTTTCTACACTGCCCAGAGGCCCCGAGTGGCTGGGACAGTGTGGAATGTCCCCGGCCTCTCAGCGCCGATGTATGCAAATCAACCCACCATCTTTGTTGTATTAATTTGCATATTCCTGATTGGCTGGTGGGCATCGTGAAGGTACGGTCAATTTGCATCTTCTTTTATTAGTAGATGGTTATTGTAAATTGTTACAACACCTTAAAGAATTATAGGTTTAAGATATATAGAGTAGTATATAGAAGATTGCATTAGCACCAATATTTTACCACTCTTGGAAAAGTAACTCAAACTCTATTTATTGCCTGTTGGGTCCATTTGTATATGAAGAATAGTATCTTTTATAAGGGGATGAATAAAATATTAGTAATTAAATTAAATATTTAAAGGGTTTTCAAGTGACCAGAGATTAGAATTAAAGGGAGTGGAATTAAGATTAGTGAGCAAAAGATACAAAGAATTTGCCCTCTGACATAATTCCCTATAGATGGAATGTGCAGACCTGAAGGTTGGTTAGTTCCTTGTGATTGAATTCTTTGGGCTGTTAAAAAGGACATTTATGTATTGTTGAGGTTCTGGAGTTTGATTGCTTATTTTTCTTTTTAGATTCTCCAAGTGTAAGGTTTTGTTATCTTTAAAGAGGTAATTAATTGCCCTAGCCAGTTTGGCTCAGTAGAGAGAGCATCGGCCTGTGGACCAAAGGATACCAGAGTTTGATTCCAATCAAGGCACGTACCTCGGTTGCAGGTTCCTTCCTAGCCTGTGTCCTGGATGGAGCTCAAGCAGGAGACAACCAATAGATGTGTTTTTCTCACATCGATATTTCTCTCTGTCTTTCCCTCTCTCTAAAAATCAATGGAAAAACATCTTAGGGTGAGGATTAAAAAAAAAAGGTTAATAATTAATCCCACCTTTATATAACTAAAACAACAATAAAAACATTAGTACTTCAAAATGTAGATTAAGCATCAGGAAATGTTATTTCATTAAATATTAGGAGGACTACTATATTCTGTTGTTTCTTTTCCTTCTCCCTCTAGTGGGCAGAAATATTTTAAAAATACAATATGGAAAGGTTTGTGAGTATTGAATGTATCGCAATGCAGTCTCACTTTTTTTTTTAAAGCAAATCTTAATGTTCCAGAATCATTAAAGAAAATGTTTTATTCCTTTCTAGGCATAATAGTGGATCTTTGAATATTGAAGATGTTCTTACCAGCTTTGACAATACAGGAAATGTTTGTAAGTTATATGATCACTATGTAGAAATATTTTGTGTATTAAAAAGTGAATTTATAATTGGTATTTGTTCTCACTAATGTTTATTATACTGACGAATGTGGGTATAATAGGAACTCTTACAGTTTTTAGCTGCAAAATGAGCTTCCTATACAATGCGCCTACTAAGTGGGACAAGGCAGTTTTACACATGGCAGTTGTGTATGTGAGAGAAAATGTAGGTCAGAGGAATACTCTCCAGTACTGGACTCTCCAGTATTCCCTTTGTTTCTTCTTTTCGTTTTGACCTTCTCAGTTAATCCAACAAAGGGGCTGTCTCCTCTTTGTTGTGGTTTGGGTGCTTTCTTTTCCACTTCCTGCTTCTTTTCTTTCACTACAGAATGCAACCAGAACATTTTCCCTTGCTGTTAATATACTTTAGTACCAGAATGTTTTTGTTTTATGCAATATTATAATATTATAGAATATATAGTTTTTTTTTCATCTAAGCCTGAAAGTCATGATTTCTCCATTGAAAAAACCATTTAAATCATTATAAAGTCATATGATTAAAGAAATAAAAAAAGAATATCTTTATATCATTGCACTAAATAGCATACCATGATACAATAGAAGCTAGGTTCTCCTTTATGTGTATTGCATAGGATATTTCTTTTAAGATAATGAATTATCAATGTGGTATGACAGTTGTAATGTAAAAATTGTACTCAACTACCTTTTTTCTCAAAGGAAATTTTAGAACTGTAACTACTTACTGTCTGAACTAAAACAATTTCCTTTGCTAATAGTATTGCTTTATTAAATGTTCCCTAATTTTAGGTCTGCATAGAATAATGTCTTATTCTATGCACCACAGTATAGAAAACTTTTCATGTATAGCAAAATATGCATTTTGTCACTAAGGAATTTAGAAATATCCTCAAGAATCCTAAAATATTTAAAATAATGTATGTTTATTTTTCATGGGTATCTTTTAGTTTCTACATGTTGGCACTTCCTGAATTGTTTCCTATTTAGGCATATCTCACATTTTTATTGGGGTTTTAGGCAAGGAGTGGCCAAAGGGATGCTAATGGTAGTTGAGGAGGCATTCTCCTTTAATTCTGGGGTAATGTAAAATAACATTAAGTCAGGCTTATGCATCTAGGAACATGATTGGAGAGTGTTAAATATGGAAATTTTGCCCTCGCCGGTTTGGCTCAGTGGATAGAGCGTTGACCTGTGGACTAAAGGGTCCCGGGTTCGATTCCAGTCAAGGGCACATGCCCAGGTTGCGGCTCGATCCCCAGTGGGGGCCATGCAGGAGGCAGGTAATCAATGATTCTCTGTCATCATTGATGTTTCTCTCTCTCTCCCTCTCTGAAATTAATAAAACATATATTAAAAATATGGAAATTTTGATTCAGTAGTGTAAAAATAAAATATTGTTCCCTGTGACTCAGTATAAAACAGGGCCACTAGCTGGCAGCATTATGTAAAACAAAAATATTTTCCTAGAGGTCCAAGCTATTACTTTATATATTGATTAGCTGTCTTACACTGTTCCAACATTTTTTTCCGTATCAGCTGCCCCCACCCCTCAAACCCTCATTTATCTACATAGAATATGTACTCCATTTGTTGCATTGACAAATGGAGAAATTTCATGTTGAAAATATTTCTTCACTGCTCTCTATTGTTTGGTAGTAAGATTTGAGTCTATGGAATGAGACCTATTTACATTTGAATCTTTGTTCTGAAATTCATCTTGAGCAATTTATATCATTTCCATGAGCCACAATTTAAAAAAAACTCTTAGAACTGAAAATAATGTATAAAAAGTGTGTAGTATATATTGCATTTTCATAGTTGACACTATAGAATTTATTATTATCAATGATGAGCGCCTCTAAAATTTTTCTAATAATGAAGATAATATTAAGAGTTATTCTGGCCGAAACCAGTTTGGCTCAATGGATAGAGCGTCGGCTTGGGGACTGAAAGGTCCCGGGTTCGATTCCGGTCAAGGGCATGTACCTTGGTTGTGGGCATATCCCCAGTAGGGGGTGTGCAAGAGGCAGCTGATCGATGACTCTCTCTCATCGATGTTTCTAACTCTCTATCTCTCTCCCTTCCTCTCTGTACAAAATCAATAAAATATATTTTTAAAAAAAAGAGTTATTCTGGTGTTTTAAAATAATTATTTTGATAGAACTTATAAGGCAGGAAAGAGAAATGACCAAAATAGTAATTTGTTAAAATGTCTTGCCACAAATGTGGCCTTCAAAACCTTAATATTCCAACTGATAAAAGTGATGACAAAAATAAGACCTGTCAAAACATGTTATTTAGTGTAACTTTTATATTACACTCTTTTTATTTTAAAAGAAAAATCTGTACTGATATTTTGTTTAATGAAAAATTGGTTACAATAAAGTAAGCATTGATTATAATTTTTATATAATATTTGTCAAGGCTTAAAATGATCAAGGATTAAAAAAGTAAATTTTCACAAATTAAAAAAAAATTTAATCACTCAAGTATTTGATTTTACATTAATAGTGATTTTAGGTTGAGCTTGTGAAAACCCAGCAGAGGGCGCCACATCATAATTCTGTCTCACTGCTCAACATGCGTCAATTAATAACTTGGGTAATAAATAACTGTAAGCTTTCATCATATAAACATATAAAGACATATGTCTAAACATTTCCATTTGATTTGTTTTATATATTTACTGTATTCAGGAACTCATTAATTTAAAAAATAGATTTTTCTGACTATTTTTTTAGTTTATTTGCTTTTTTGTTTTAAATAGTTGAATTTTTATATTTCTAGCTTCACATAGAGGAATATTTTTGACCTTGTTAATACTGATATAGAAAGAAAGTTCTATTTAAGAATATCAATTCCTAAGTCATCACCATAGTAGTACATTGATAGTAAGTATACTGAGGGATGTTTAGGATGAGGAAAAAAGTTTCTAATACTGTGAAAGACCTAATAGAATTATCCATGTATTTCAGGAATTAGTTTCCAGGTTAATATAGCTCTCTGATAATAGAAAGAATAACATAATTAAAATATTTTATAGTTTTAAAAGTTTGATGTACATATATACTATAATACCCTGTTTCCCCGAAAATAAGACAGTGTCTTATATTACGTAATTTTTTCTTCCAAAGTTGCGCTAGGTCTTATTTTCAGGGGATGTCTTATCTTTCCATGCGCTAGGTATTATTTTCGGAGGATGTCTTATTTTTGGGGAAACATGGTATGTATGTACATATAAAATATATTCATGGTTTGTATAACCCTTAATCTCAATTTTAAGGTAATTTTTTAAAAAAGTAATGATTTTATTCATTATAAATTTTCAAAGAGTGGAGAATCAGTCATTTGTTTATTCTCTAACCTAAAGGATATGAGAAAATCCTTAATTTTAGAAAATAAATGAAACCTCTAGTTTCTTGTTTCCTTATATATTAGAAGACATTATTTATTTTACCTTTATTATTTAAAAGTGTTGTGTATTTTTAAGTGTATGTCCTGTCATATATATATATATATATATATATATATATATATATATTTTATTGATTTTTTACAGAGAAGAAGAGAGAGGGATAGAGAGAAACATCGATGAGAGAGAAACATCGATCAGCTGCCTTTTGCACACCCCCTACTGGGGATGTGCCCGCAACCAAGGTACATGCCCTTGACCGGAATCGAACCCGGGACCTTTCAGTCCACAGACCGACGCTCTATCCACTGGGCCAAACTGGTTTCGGCTGTTTTATATTTTTGAGATACCTTTCACAGTTTAAATTCATTTGAATGTTGTAGGAAGAAATGAATCTTCCACAATCATTTTGCATGACTCATTCAGAATATGATCCCGGTCTTATTTTTATATTATGTGTTTGCTATTGTGGAAAACAAATGATTTTTTAAAGGTAGGCTCTTTTGTGCTTATCTCCAACTATATGGGTAGGTATACATATTTTGTTACTTGAGTTCTACTTGAGAAACTACTTCCTTTTGAAATATCAAAGTTACTCTGGGGAGAGGTTGTCTGCGCTATTGATTCGTCGTGCCTGGAAAGAGATGTCGTCAAGCTACCTAGGGAAAAGTATAGGATGACACCCTTCACCTCAAATGAGGTGCTGGCTGCTTCTGTGTTTCCTGTGACAGGCACGGTACTTTGGGTCAGAGGGTGCTTTGCTAGCACCACTGCAGATCTCTTGCTTCTGTTTTCTCTGTGGGTAGGATCTCCATTCCAGCTTGTCCCTGACCTCTAATCAGAGAAGCCCCATCATGCTATGTCTTTTCCAAAACCATTTTCTCTTTCTCCAAAGTCATCTCTTTCCTCTACTGAAATGATTTTTTTTTAACCAGTTAACTGCCACGTGTCCAAAATGGAAACCATTGCCACATGCCACGATATTTTGAATTTAATTAAAAAAATCAATATGCAATGAATGCTATAAAAATAAACATGTTACTCATGAGTCAAGTGTTCTTGAATATTTTCAACTGAAAATTCTCTCTCGAAAAATGATTTTAAAGTTGGTCAGGGCTGCCACTTATAGAAAACATTTTTCTTTCTTTTTAAAAAAAATATATTTTATTGTTTTTTTACAGAGAGAAAGGGAGAGGGACAGAGAGCCAGAAACATTGATGAGTGAGAAACATAGACCATTTGCCTCCTGCACACCTCCTACTGGGGATGAGCCCGCAACCCATGTACATGCCCTTGACCGGAATCGAATCTGGGACCCTTCAGTCCACAGACCAATGCTCTATCCACTGAGCCAAACCGGTTTCGGCAAAACACTTTTCTTTTATAGACGTGCTTGGCGTGTGGGGAAGATTTGCTGCTTGTGTCTACAGACACTTATGGCATACAATGGGTTAAAAAAGAGATTCTGTTTGGCACTTTGTTGATGCAAAATTGGCCGTCATAGTATACAGTGCAACTACATATTTGGTATTTGGTATATAATAGCTTCATTTGTATATTT